CTATGTCTGCTTTGGTAAATCTATAGGACCTTTGTGTCGCTGTTGCTTACTGAACCTTTGCAAAATACCATCGTTGTTTAATGAGGGGGAAATACAGTAGACCTTTTTTACCTTTTATTTCATAGCAGTGTAAGGTTTGGCTACTATCTTACTTGGCAGAACTGTTCCCTGTGTAAAGCCAGGTGGATCTGAGACCCTCCTGTGGCAGCTTACTGAGAGCCAAAAAGCAGCACCAGCTCTTGGGGGCCTGATGCTTTAGGCAAACTGGAAAACATCCACCTGTCATAGCTCTGTCAGCAAACAGTTTGGATGCCTTAGGCAACTTCCTGGTTTAGTGAATCTCAGTGGTCCTCACAAGTCTGAGTAACACAGTTCCACCTCTGGGAAATATTTAATCTGCTGCAGCAAAAACAACAAAAGAGTTTTGTGGCAACTTAAATTCTACTTATTGTGGCATAAGCATTGGTCTAAAACCCACTTTATCAGATACAGTCAGAAAGAGCCATATCCCTTTGGTTCTCTTCTTTCCACCAGCTTTCCTTCATGCCTACTGTAACGATGTTCTGCTTCAAACTAAGCTCTCCATCTCCCCAACATTTCATATTAGCTTGTTCTATAAAGATTACGGTTGATTTCAAATTGACTTTAGGTTAAAATAATAACAACAACAACAAAGATTTTATTGGCATCAACAGAAATCACAAACTTGGATGGCTTTAGAGAGGATTTAACAAATTCATGGAAGATGTTATGAATGGCTACTGGCATGCCTCTGAATACTAGACTGTGCTGTGAAACAACAGCAGGAGAAGACTATTGGTTTCATGCCCTGCTTGTGGGATTCTAGGTGGCAAAATTGCTTAACAGCTATTGCTTGCACAACCACATTCACTGCAGTTTCTGTATACATTATTCAAAACAGCCTTTACCCAACCTTGGTTCCCCAGATGTTGTTAAACCACAGTTCCCATCAGCCCCAGTCAGCATGGCCAATAGTTGGGGATGATGGGAAATATAATCCAGTATCATCTGAGGTAAAGCAATTTTGATGGGGCTGCCTTATTAAAGAATTAATCAATTAATTATTAGTTTAATTAAATCTAAACATATGTACATATTAATTAAAAAGCTACAATTGGTTTTTTGTTTTTGATGAATCAAAACATGTTGCAGAATGCATGATCTTGTAAGAGGCTCTCCATCCTGAACATTGGAAATGAGGAATGTCTCTTCACAGTGTCGTAGTGGGTGCCTCTTCAGTCTGCTGGCTTTAACAGTGCATTCCTAAACGTCAACGTTCTCCCACTTTCCCCCTCTCCCCATGGTTCTTGAAAATACTTCCGGCTTCATTCTCTCAACACTTTATTAAAGCTTCTGTTCCTCCAAGTCTATAATGATGACCCATTCTACTGGGAGTCACAAAGGATGCTCTTGAGGCTTGTGAGAGTGGAGACATACAGCAGCATCTGTCTCCATTCCTCTTCCTTGTCCCTGAAGCCTTCACACACAAGGAGAAATCTTGTTGGAATAGTTTGCTTTCCATAAAAAAACAACCCTTTGTTGTTTTTCCACATGCACTTGAGGTGGATTTCCGTAATGCGTGCAGTAAGAAAATTCTCTAGTGTAGCAAAGAAGTATCACTGTCTTTTCCATACAGCATGCAGAGTCCAACACAATTCGTGGCTCCCTGCCACTTTCTTCCCAGCAAAGACATATTCTTTCTGGAATGGGAAAAGGGTGTTTGTGTTTGTGAGCAGCTGTGGTGCTGTGTTCACCTGTCTGTTTCCAAAATCCCTGGTCTCTCCCTGCTCTGTTTCTTACCCCCCCCAACCCCCAATGCATGCACACAAACACACAAGGGTCAAGTCTAATTTTCAAACTAGCTGGATACTGTGCATCAAACAGAATACTCTGTGGAGCTGTAACTGTTTACCTGCGGCTTCCTCCACCTACCCACCACTGTGCTTCTTCCCATGCAGTGAGCACTTCTGCCCGCCAAAGGCTTCGTCAAGAAGCATAACTAAAGCAGATCAGTTACCATGGTCACACTGGGAAGAGCTGTGGTGCTGATATACAGCAGCTCCAAATTCTTTGGATTAGGAAAAATAACGAGAGTGAAAGGAAAGGATTTATCACTCAGCCTGTGAAAAATTCTCTCCAACCCCTTAGACAATTTGTGTATTTGCTTTTAGCAGGATCAGATGTATTTTTCTATCACAGCATGCAAAATTTTGGAGTTACAAAGAGCTGGAGTGCCCAAGAGCCACTTTTCCAGCTTTGGGCATTCTTTACCAAGCCCAATGGACACTTGTTTTTTGTTTTGTTTATAAATTGATCTCCCATCTTTCCAAATCTTCCAACAAAACAAAAGCAAAAAGTAGCTTTAAATAACAACCTCTTAACTAAAAAGACATAATGCTGAAGATGAGGAACACTACAAAACCACATGGAAGGGACAAGCTTTGTTTTTTAAAAAATAACAAGAATTGTAAAGATTTGAACCTTATTTGGGTGTCTTATCAATTATTCTTGCTGTAGAGGTTCTCATTTCACATAGAATGAGCACATGAAAAAGAGTTTCCCTAGCTGCAAATGTGTGCTTTAGAGTACTGTTCTATCCCACCTAATTTTCTATAGAAAGTAAGAATGGCTAACAAATTGGAAGCAAAACAATATACAGGAGAACACTCCCCAAATTAAGCCCACTCACAAAATCAAAATAGAACTAAATAGAACTAAGAACATAGAATGGTACCAAACAGCAATAAAAATAAATGCAAAACTAAACTAGCAAAAATAATAGTCATCCAAAGACCCTTTTAAAGAGCCACATCTTTATGAACCACCTGACTCACTTCACTTAACAAGGTATTTGATAGGGTGGGCACCATAACAGAAAAAGCCCTAGTCCCAGCAGGGCCTCAGATAATGGATGGAGCATGCAGAGAGGAACATACAGAAAAAGAAAGTCATTAGGGTACCCTGGTGCCAAGCCAGTAAGTTGTTTTAAAGGTTAACACCAGCGCCTTGACTTGAGCCAGGAAACTAATTGGCAACCAGTGCAGATCACATAGCACCAGTGTGATGGAATCAAATTGTGTTACATTCCAATTTGCAGGCTTTCTAGACTTTTCTGGTCTTGCACATTTGGAATATTTCACAACACTTTAGGTCTTAAAGAATTGCTTTTTAAATAAAACAATGTTTTAAAAGCCCCACATCATCTGCTGCTGCTGCTATCATGCTGCTCTCAGAAAGCTGCTGTGCTGTGGTGGTTAAGAATCAGAATTATTAGTTAGAACTTGGGAGTCCTTTGTTCAAATGTCAATTCAATTGCCTGTTCATTAGCTGGCCTTAGGCAAGCTTACCATCTCCCCTGCCATCTGTAATATGGGAATACAGCACTAGTTTATCTTACACGGTTGTAAGTAAGAATTTATTACATTCTTTGACACTTTGGAAAATGGCTGTTAGGTATAAATCTGGCAAATATTTCCTTGCATCCGTAGCTGTTTTAAATGGTTCCATGTACATTGAAGTAATGCATATGCAAGGATTTCCACCCCTACCCCAGGGTAGGTTATCAATTTTCCCCAGCATCTACACACTTCTCTCATAACACCGTAGAATGTTGCATTATTATGATCTGCTACATATTTTGGAAATTTGTCCATTGGCTATGCATTTGCATGATGGTTCCTGAGATCAATGAGCAAGTGTTTAGATAAAATTGGATGCCATTTTGAATCAAGGTGGCAAACTGAACCTTTCAAATGCAAAAAGGAAAAAAAAAGTTTCTTAGAATTCCCGAACAATGCCAAGTATGAGGCTGCCAGTACTAACTAAAGATTGAACTTTCTCCTCAACCAATTAGCTGTATCAGAATAGGAGAGAGAGGTTAGATTGCAGGTCACAGGGTAGCATCTGTGTGAGCTTGTATGCTTGACTATTCCTTGCCAGACCTTCCAAATTTTACTGTTGTTCCTCAGATATATCCTAATCTGTTTTCATTCCCTGCACAGTATTTGGGTGTAAAGCATGTATAAAGGTAAAGGTAAAGGTACCCCTGCCCGTATGGGCCAGTCTTGACAGACTCTAGGGTTGTGCGCTCACCTCACTCTAGAGGCCGGGAGCCAGCGCTGTCCGCAGACACTTCCGGGTCACGTGGCCAGCGTGACAAGCTGCATCTGGCGAGCCAGCGCAGCACACGGAACGCCATTTACCTTCCCGCTGTTAAGCGGTCCCTATTTATCTACTTGCACCCAGGGGTGCTTTTGAACTGCTAGGTTGGCAGGCGCTGGGACCGAGCGACGGGAGCGCACCCCACCGCGGGGATTCGAACCGCCGACCATGTGATCGGCAAATCCTAGGCGCTGAGGTTTTACCCACAGCGCCACCCGCGTCCCTAAAAGCATGTATACATTATGCTAAACTTAAGGTGATAATCAGGGATAGAAGCATGACAGAAAGCCATTTACTGAGTTTAGTCATTGCTCCTTCTTTGCTGTTCTGTGCCTAAGACTGAACCAAAAACTGAACCAGCAACATTTCAGCAAAGAGAACTTAAGGAGAATACTGGAATAGTGTCGCATGTGTCAGGACAAAGTTAGCCTAACAATTCTGATTTGTTTCACTACACATATGCAGCTTTGCATAGTGCTTAGATATTGCTGGAGAGCTTTATAATTCATGAAATAATAAATCTTCGGTTTTTAACTTTGGAACAAGATGGTGAGTCATTTAGCCTTTTCTCATTAACCTTTCATTCCAAGTCCTGACGCACGAGGGAGAAAATGGGATGGCAATTGGAGGTGATCATTACTGCCTATTAACCTATGTTATCCTACCTCATTGAGATATGAAATTCGTACTTTCTGTGTAATGAATTCCACAGGGGCTTGAAAGAAAGATACCAGAAAGGCTACATCGACGAGTGAAGGGAGTGCTAAAGGGTTGTTGGTGTTTTGCAGGATTAATTGGATTGTGTAGCCTGTACAACCATGGAAGGAGATTGTTTGAGCTGCATGAAGTATCTGATGTTTGTCTTCAATTTCTTCATATTTGTAAGTATCCTTGGATTTTCCGTCACATACCACCTCTTTCATATCTCTGCTTGTGAGGTCAGTGCTGGCTATACTGTGATAGACTTGCTTCAATACAGAATTGCCCTTCAGTTTCATATATAACAGCATCTGAAACATACATAACACCTCTCATCATAAGCTGCCAGGACACTTAACACCCCCATGGCTTGGTATCACTGATAAGGGGAGTGGATACTGTTCTTCTAACAATTAGTAAGACCTGTGAACAGATCTCTAGACAAGATTTTCAAGCATTTATCCAGTCACTGGCTAAATTGGCACTGTATAGTTTATTAAAGTATGGAATATAATTACATCATGTCTTAGAACTTCTTCTTCCAACAACCATAAAGTTGCATAAAGAGCATGCTAACCCTTTTGTTGATCATTTCTAAGCCAAACTAACTAACACTATTAGAATGGTCAACGTAGCAATAGGAACAATAAACCAGTGTCATACGGTGTCAAGAGTTTCATGCTATGAAGAAAATTGCTGAAGTTCAGCTTCCTGTGATGGTTGTGTTTTTTGTTGAAGAACGCACCTCTGGAAACACACCTAGAATAATAATAATATATTGTGTATCTGTACAGTTTGTATAGTACAGGTGAATCATTTTGGCGGGCAGGGGAAACTTATTATGTCAGATTTAATAACACGGGATAAAGAATGTATTATACAGGTAAGGGACAGTCTAGCAGCCCTGCCAAGCCCATTTTTATATCTCAAAATGAATGAAAGCTTTGCAAAGATGGGGCCTATGTCTCTGATGTCCCCGAGGTTGTCCTATTGCTTCTTCCATGGATTCTACACAGGAAATAATTACACAGGAAGAGCTGAGCTATAAAGAAAACATGGGTGCTTCCTTGCTATAAATAGCCCAAATAATGAAAAGTGTGTGTGATTGTGTGTGTGTGTGTGTGTGTGTGTGTGTGTGTATTGGTGGGGGAAATTGTAGGAAATGCACACTGTGAAAAAAGTAAGCTTGCATGGTAGAAAGCTAGCTTAGTCATGCAGCTATTGTGTTGGTTAGATCTCTTAGCTGGGGATGAACTCACTGGAGGGAATCTAGAAAGGAACTGAACGTCTTTATCTGAAATATTTCCCTTTTTGGCAGCTGGGTGGTACATCTCTACTGGGAGTTGGAATATGGGTCATAGTGGATCCCACAGGATTCCGAGAGATAGTGGCTAGTAATCCTCTGCTCTTCACGGGGGCATACATCATGCTGGCAATGGGAGCAATGCTCTTCCTGCTGGGGTTCCTTGGCTGCTGTGGAGCCATCCGTGAGAACAAATGCCTCCTTCTCTTTGTAAGTACTGTTGGCTCTTTCATATGTGGTTTTCTTTTGTATCTGTCTGCGTGGTATGGATAGCTGATTAGGTAATACTGGTACAGATTGTTTTGCACATCCAATTGTTTGCAAACTGCAGTTTTTGCACAGTTGACAACTAAAGGCATTTCATCCTAATCTGCATGCAAGTTCTGCTGTACAGCTAATGAATTGCTTGTTGCAATCACTTATAAGTAATAATCATAACTACTTGAAAATAAACACTGCACCTATCTTGGCACAACTACCGAGGGGTAGAATTTAATGTGTTCATAAGCTAGTACTGTTACACGTGCAAGAAGAACATATAGATATTTTGAGCATGGAAAGCTAGTAGCCATTTTGCTGCCTACATAGGTAGATCTTTTAGGTTAACTTTGTGTGCAAGCCATTTCAAATTAAAACTCTGAAGAAGGTGACGAAATAGCAGGAAAAGGTAAAGAGATCTGTAGTGTGCTTAATTTTTGTTTGTTGTTTGTTTGTTTTATTTTTGGTTTGTTTTTAAGTGTAGGGTTTTAAATGTTTCAATTGCATTTTTAATCGTTATGAGCAGCTTTGAGGATTCTAGTAAAAAATAAACATTGCAGAACTCCCGTTGAGTAGATATGAATATGGGCTCCAGAGTCCAATTGTAGCCTGATAAATAACATTTAATCTCAAATATTGAATGTTATTTGGGAGGGGGAAATTGTGCCTGCAGCTATGAATAGTGCTATAGGATGGTTCAGGCTTCTAACAAGCTACAGTTCCCAAAGTACAGATGTAGTAGGGAATTGTGATTTGCTTAAGAGTAGATGCAGAAACATCTGATCTCCTCATTGCAGCTGCAAAAGAGGAGACAATGAGAAGCACATGATATAAAACTTTGCTGCAACTCATTCATATAGTGGGAAATCATAGTTTCTTGTTACATCTGGTCCTGTAAGTACTTTAGGACAAAAGGACATAAAAAGAACCCTGCTGGATCAGATCAAATGACTGTCTGTTCTGGCAGTCTCTTCTCACAGTGGCCAACCAGTTACAAGACATCTCACTCATGTTTCCCAGCCACTTCTGTTCAGGGGCATAACATCTAGCCCAGTTGGTTAGAGCATAGGACTGATTATGGCAAGGTCCCATAAGGGCTACCTGTATATTCCTACGTTTCAGAGGGTTGAATTAGATGACCAGTGCCTTCCAATTGTATGATTTAATGATCTCTGATAACACGTCACCATTGATAGCCCTATTCTCTATATTTTACCCCTATAAAACCACCTGTATTTTCATCAAGTGTGCATACACAAGTGCTCCCATAAGAACTTTATACCTTATCTGCACCCCCATTTCTCCCATATATCCATCAGCATGCACTATTTAATCAGCCCTAGAGTCAAGAGTATGAAGTCCCCCTTTGTCAGCCTTCTTCAAGCTGCAAGTGAACTCCAAAAAAGTAATCAATTAGTTTCTAAGAAGTCCTTAAGGCACAAAACTCTAGTGCGACTGTGGCCCACAAAGTTTGCCATATCACATTTGGGTACATGTGGAAAGAAAAACCTAAAGGTGTGGATGTGTGCATGTGCACATGTGTGCACACCATCTGGGTCAAGTAGATTTGGGTTTCATTATAATGTACATTATAGCGATGCCATACATAATGAAAGGAAGCCTGTGATTGAAGTGGAAAGCTGCAACATTTTTGTTGTCCTAGTTCCCCACCCAGCCACCCTTCAATTTGCCTGTTATCCTATACACCTGAGGGCGTGCGTAATGGCTAAACTTTTCATTTGGTACGTCATTTTATTCGGTATAAAATGGGATGGAAAAAGTTATATAAGAGTTTCCCCCCAGGGACAAGGACTTCCCAAATGGAGGTTTCTTCCAAAGAGGGAGTGATGGGAAAGAATTGACTATGCAAAGCGATTTAGTGTGTGACTTGTGGAAATATTGGCCTGGCGAGATTTTCATATTTCTTCAGGAAGTTCAAATGAAGTGGCTGTTAACTGTAGCTGGGGTTGTGGGAGAAGTATTACTTTCATGGACTGATCAAAATCCAAGTCCTCATATGAAGTTTTCAAAAATAGATGAGCCAGAGGCTTCCTGAGAGAGATTTTGCAGTGATACATAATAAATGCCTAAAGCTTTTAGCTCAAGTGTAAACTCAAGGCAAGCGTACAGCATGGGTAAGAGACAAGAGAGAAACATGCATCCCAAGGGAAGTTCTCAAGCTTCTTTCTGCTTAGAGATTATTTTTCATGTTATATTTTTATAAGAAATGTTGCAGTTGAATCTGATATGTTGCATCAAGCGTCAGGCTGTGTTGTGCTTCACAGCCCCCAAAGCTGTTGTTCTAGCAGTTGATCTTTGCAAGGTTGTGTTTTTTAAAAAAAAGCACAAAAAAACACTGCACACTGCTTGGAAGACTTAGAAATGAGCTTGCTGTGAAATACCCCTAAAGCCATTTCACTTGCTGCTTGATAAAATAGTGGGGTCCGCGGTGTATATTTGAATTTTGGAAGGCTACAAAGGAGTATAAATCAGTCTTGGTGTACCCCTAAGAAATTCCTTTGTATTACGAATCTGTCCCTTCCTCTTTCTCCACCCACACTGCAACAAAGGTAAAGGGGGGGGGAGAACTAAGTACTGCTTGATCTAATTTTTACTGAGGACCAAACTGGCACCAGGGGGAACTTTCCTCTCATTCAGGTGGTTAATGCACTCATCCCCCTGGCCGCAGTGCCAGTCCTGTTTCCCCAAGCCAGCAGCTAGACAAGGGCAAATTATGTGATGAGTTTCATGTTTAGTTTGACCCTCAAAACATTCCAGTATGCAAGTTACGGTATTATTTGCAGATACAGATGGGGAAATGAGGCTGAGAAAGTCTTCTCCCATACCTTTGGATAATGAAACTGTGGATGGTCTTTTTCTCCGTGTGAGAGTGTGGTTATTGTTATTGTTTATTACTATGTTATGTTTTGTGTGTTTTTGTGTTTTTATATTGTAAACCGCCCTGTGATCCTCAGATGAAGGACAGTATAGACATTAAATAAATAATAATAATAATTTGCCCAATGACTCTGGGGCAGGAAATCTATGTCAAAGTGATGGGAGCAGGGAGGCCTTGGCAGGGAGGCCAGAGAGTGGAGGATTTTAAGTGAGTTGGTATGATCAACAGTGAATCCATATGATCAGCAGAAAGGTTTGTAAAGTAAAGCCTTGCAGTTTTGCAGTCTGGCGTGTCCTTGGATGTTTTGTTGATCTATGGATTTGGCAGATTTCTTCCAGTGTAGCTGCAGATTTCCTTTGCATGGCAAGGACAAATTCCTCACTCAGCTTGATTTATCGTTTTGATTATTTTGAGAGATTCTGTCCCAGCTGTTTGCTGTAGATGTACAGTGATTTGTCTGCCTTTCTTTTTCTCTCTTTCAGTTCTTCATGTTTATTTTGCTAATCTTCCTGGCAGAACTCTCAGCTGCAATCCTGGCTTTTATCTTTAGAGAAAATGTAAGTATTACGATGTCAGCATGCTACCCTGCAGATTTTGGTTCAGGTGGACTTCAGGTTAGAAGGTTATAAGCTTGCCGAGTTGATATCTGTTAGGATGGCAGTGGACCATTTTCCCCATTATTACTCCTGGTCTGAACATCATGCAGTCACCTGTTGAATGCAAGCAAAAGAAACTTGTGTCAAGTAGATGGTTTATGTGTAGAGGAGATAACATGCCCCCCAAAGGTTTCCAGAGTTAAGGAGCTTATGCCGGCTCATACTTAAAAAAAAATCATCCTCATTAAAATTGAATTAGCTTTAGTTTCATAGATCACAGTCAAAATTAATAACAGTTTGAGAGGTTAAAAGAATATAGCACAGCAGGATAGGAAGAAGTAAATTCATCATAAGTTATTTCATTGTGCCAGTATGAAGAATCTGTCACATGCATGCTTTTCCAAGTCTGCAGTGCAATGCTTATCTATCCAGTACCACCTGTAGTGAAAACAGAGCTTTAAATCAGCTCAGATAGACCAAACATTCCTTTAATAAAACTGCTATCATATTTAGGCTGCCATTTTCCTCTTGTCTAGAGGATGGACTAAGCTGATGCCCTATCACAAGTCCATTCCATCTTTATTTGTGTGAGTTTTTCAAAAGAATGCACAAAAAAATCTACGTTTGAAATGTATGCATTTGTATGCATTTCTTATGTAAAACACACACTTTTTACTTATATGTATTTCAATGCATTTTCTTCATAAAATATGTATGCTTATTGTCCATAAAACCCATATTTTTGTGCATACCTTCTGCTTACTAAAGCTGAATTGTAAAATCTAACTGCAAGCAAGTTCAGTAGTGCAGATTTACCCACAATTCTCTGTGATGCAAAACAAAATACAAAAAGAGACAACTACACATTCCTAAACAAAGGGATTGGGGTTTTTTGCTTTTACATGGGGGGGGGGGTCCTCGGTTGGGGGGGGGGAGACTTGGAGCAATGACCAAAGCTTCCTAGGAACACCCACTTCCTTAGAAACTCTACTGTAAGTGTTGACTTGCAATATAGGCAAACATGAGATACTTCTTTTTTTGCTTTCACTTGTTTTCTTGTTGCAAATGTGAACACAGGAAACCCACATTTACACCTTACATAGCCAAAGTTAGCTGGTGTGTCCTGGTGCGACTTCAGTTGCTTTTGTCCATTGTTCTATTTGGCAAATTCAATTTCCTGCAAAAAATTTGCTTTGCTTTTGTATTTTGCTTTGTATTTATTTGGCTGTTTTCTGGCACAAATCTGCAGCCTCATTTCTGTGTGTTTGGGTTTTTTGTTTTAAAAAAGAAGAGCTAAAGATAGAGACATTTAGCAAATAAACCTGTGGGAATGGCAGAAAAACAAAGTTTTCACTAATAGGGTGAGAATGAGAATGACACAAAGGAGCCTGTGGACAGAAACTTTGGCATAGTGTAACTCAATGCTCTATAAACACAGGGCTTGCTTTTAATTCCCCTGTGTTTAAGGAAGTAGGTGGTTAGATTTTTAAAAACATTGCAAGCCCCAAGAGCCCATTGTGTTCTGTAGTAAGCTGCAGTGTAAGCTTCCAAGGGGTATTTTGGTTCACCGCTGTGGGAGCTTGAATAATGGTGTGTCTTAAACATATACCTTTCACTTGAGGTTCAAGAAAACGTAAGATTTTTCCCTGTGCATATAGAAACATACATACCTGCATATATAATTTTATTTGTATGCCACCTTTCCTCAGTTCAAACCATGCTCAAGGTTGCTTACCACATGAAAAAATTGCATAACAACAACATAACAAAAGTAGTCATAGTAAATGAAACATTTTTTAAAAAATACACAACTAAGCCAAACCATTTCCACATAAATCACAAGGGCTAAAATAAAGATACAAAAAAATCAGCAGCAATAACCCCCAACCACAACAGCCTCTGCCAAACAGCACCCTAGCCTAAGAGTCTGGGCAGCAACCTCAGCTTTTGTAGTTGGAGTCAGTCAAGACCCCGTCCTCCCAGGCCAGATGGAAAAAGGCCTGTGTGAATATTAAACCTTCCATTCTAGTCACTCTTCATTTTTCTCTGGCCTTTCTGATATCAACTGTATGATTCACAGAGTTACCAATGAGCTCATTCTCCTGTTCCTTTATTCTGCCCATATCACCTCTCCCTGCCTCCCTCTTAGATTCTTTCCTTCCAAGATACAAGTTTTGGCCCATCTCTTTCTCAAGGACTCTGCAAATTCTGCAGCTCCCTGTTGCTAATTTATTGCTTTCTTAACACCCTTTGTGCTGGCTAAATAATTGCCACTAATAATAATGACACATAGTAACATTGTTACTAAGCTTTCTACCATCAGTTTGGTGCTTTTTTAATATATGCAGATTTAGGAAGCTGTTGTTGCAGGTTTGTGTGACTGATTAAACACATAAATTTGGGAAGACTCAGTGGTAAAGCAACTACAGAAAGTCCCATTTTCAATCCTTGTTATCTCTAGGTAGAAGTAGACATTCCTGCTTGAAACCCTGAAAAGTTGCTGGTCTGACTCAGTGTAAGGCAGCTTCCTATGTTTCTATGGGCTGTGGAACTGAATTGCACACATTACTTAAGTTGTACAGTGGTCACAATGAAATCCAGTAGCTTGATCTTGTGCAAAAAAATAAGATTGTGGTGTTGCATCCTCAACAGGGCTCAGATATGTACCTTTATTTCATTTTGCAGTTGGAACCCACTTCCAATATTCAATACTTCCCATTGTTTGTCAGAACAGCCCTGAGAACCTTGGACTTACTCCCCACCCACAAATATTCCCAGTTCTTTGTTCCATCTTGCAAGTTTTCTCTTCATGTCTCTCCTGCCATAATCTCTCCTGTCCTCCAGCTGTGCATTGCTCTGAGGCTTCTCTTGACCCTCCAAAGTATATTTGGGGAGGACATGGAAAGAAAGGGGCTCATTGCACTAGTGAGAATTGTTGAGCTGGCTTCCACTAGCACAATCATTTAGCTGAACAAGAACCCTAGGGGCTTTTTTACCCCAAAGTAGAGTTCACATTCTATTGCTTATATCCTCTTGTTATTAATACAACCCACCATGTCTCTAGGCTCATGATCTTGGAAAGTGTGCTTCTGTTCATAACATATGTAGACACTTGTGTTTGGGTGCCCATGCTATCAGGGACATATGTTATTACTTCTGTTTCCATGGCTTTATTTCCTTAAACAATATGTACTTCGCTTTGTGACTTAGAGGAAAATGTATTTTCTTTCCTTTAAAGATCTTCAAGATCTTTACCTATAGTAATATATTGCAGTATTTCAGTTGGTTGCTCCCGTTAATGAATCTGTTGAAAGCAGAACAATCATCTTTCTTTTCTTTTTTTTTAAAAAAAAAGCCTTTTACTGGTTTGACAGGACTAATTGTAGTGTGTGTTTTATACAGAAGAAATTAATGAGGGAGCAAGTATAGAGTAACCTTGCAGCAGACTTAACAAGGATTTAACATCGGTTTAATTTTTCCCAAAGAGGCTATGTTTTCACCATTATTATTTTTTTTAAAAAAGAAAAGACCTTAAAATAAGTAAAGAAGTGAGGTTTAGAAAGTCAATGCTGAAAGAGTCATATCTGTCCAAAGGTTAGAAGGAAATAATGTCTCTCTTCTCAGCTGGTGTTCTCTGCAATTGAACAGAAGGGAAAGAACTGCACTTTGTAAGGAGTTTTAGATACCCCATTTCAAGTAGCACAGGCAGGGAGAAAGCGTAATTGTGTCTTGGTGGCAACAGCTATTGCTCTATAAATAGCGACCACTTCCTGGGGATCTGTTGGGGTCTGGTCAATACTGCTCTTGTTTTCTGAATTTGTTGAATTCTTTCAGGACAGCGCAAATAGAAGACCTCACACATAGTAGAGGAAAACCACACACTTGCACAAGCTGTTACGCTACACATTTAGGTATCAGCAGTCCAGGTGTGCATGTTTTTCTTTCCGTGTGCCTATGAACAATGGGGATATGCTTTCCTGTGATTGTACAGTGTTTTTGAGCATGTTGCAGTATTAAGGGAGGGAAACCAAAAGAACAGACTATGGGTGTGGCTGTGCAAACTATCCTTCAGGCACAAGCAGCATTCATTTCTTGCATCAAGCTCACCTAGTGACCTCACAACTCACAAAGTTTTCAACGTATGCCTGTACTTGGCTGGGTGGGTGTGATACTTTATGGCTGCAGGGAGCCTCACTGAGCATTCTGAGAAGCATATTCTAGAATCATTGCATTTTACAATGGCTATTGCGGCACCCTTAGTGGTCTTTCTGATATTAGCGCTGTGGCCCAAGCATCTTCTGCAACTTTGCAAAGGACTATGGAGCACACCACTTAGATCACATAGTCTCCACTGACTCTCCTAAATGTATTGCTGCCCCAAGTAGTGTTCCTTGTGTTCCTACTGTAGTTGAGCCAGCCCAGTCTGCCATATTAGCAGGGATGCTAGCAGGACAAGTAGGACATGTGCTGCCCATGCTATTCTTAAAGGTAAAAGGTAAAGGGACAACTCTGGGGTTGCGGCACTCATCTCACTTTACTGGCCGAGGGAGCTGGCGTACAGCTTCTGGGTCATATGGCCAGCATGACTAATCCACTTCTGGCGAACCAGAGCGGCGCACGGAAACGCCATTTACCTTCCCGACGGAGCGGTACCTATTTATCTACTTGCACTGCATGCTTTCGAACCGCTCGGTTGGCAGGAGCTGGGACCAAACGACGAGAGCTCACCCCATTGTGGGGATTTGAACCGCTGACCTTCCAATTGGCAAGCCCTAGGCTCAGTGGTTTAGACCACAGCACCACCCAAAATATAGGTCTTTACTTGGCTATAATTGGGGTACCATATCAGGCTGCGTTCAGGTAGGGGGAACCTGGAGAAGAGACTCTGCAGAAGGTTGCATATGATCATAGGAAGCTACCTCATACAGAGTACGACTCTTGGTCCATCTATCTCAGTATCGTCTACAGTTCAGAATCTATACTGAGTGGCAGCAGCTTTCCAGGATTTCAGACAGGGGAGTCTGCTTGGAGATGCTGGGGAGTGAGCCAGAAAACGATCACATGTAAAGCTGTGGCCCTTCCCCATCAGATGTTGTGGGCTACAACTCCCATCAGCTCCAGCCAGCATGGCCAGTGGTTGGGGTTGATAGGAGGAGTAGTTCACAACACCTGGAGGGAACCACATGAGCTATCCCTGACCTAGTGACAATATCTTGGTGCACAATGCTTCCTTAAAAACCAGCATAAACCTGTGAGGTGGGAAGGTTTGTTTGGAGGGCCGGGGTGGCCAGTTGGCCCAGAATTACCATTTGAACACCCCTGTGTTCACCATCCCTTTGGTTCAGTGTCAAGTGCTAAATCAACTAAGTGGGTGGATAAATATTTCCTAAGATAAATATTTGGAGTGGTGGTGAAGAGGTAATGTAATATGTTTTGGCCTACTGTTACTTCAGGCAGCCGAGCCACAATATGGTGATGGAGGTAGAAAGTTGAAGGTAATTAGTTGTGCTGAAGTAACAGATCAGAGTGAAAGGATATTAAATATCCTGGCAAGTGTAGAAATTATTTCTTTGAGTGCTGCACCATTCCGTGTAGATGCAGCCTCTCCGCACTTCCTTATTAGCTTATTGGCTTGTGAGGTGGTATTATGCTTAATGCTCTGCATAGCCCGTCTCCCTCTTGAGACAGATATAATTGATAGACGCTTCACTGTCTGCCTTATGGTGCAACACAACTTTTCCTTGTACAACATCTTGTGTCCAAAGCTCTCACGGCACTATATGGGGTTAAATTATATAGTTAGAGGTAAATAATTAATAGCAGAGGGGAAAGAAGAAATTAAGAACCACAACAAGGCTTAAGAGAGATGTTATCTGCTGAGATTTGAAGTAGGGCAGATAGCAGTGAAGCAGACAGGCAAGGAATCGGTTTCAAATGGCTGAAGCTGTTAGAGGAGAAGATCCTTCCCTTGAATAAAGCTTGGAGGGTTGGAGAAGAGAACTGAGAGGGGAGCAGCGAGGGAGAGTCAGCAACAGTTGAGAAGAGCTCACAGTTTAGAGGTGTAAAACAATGTTAAAAACAAAGTGGTTTTCAAAGTGAAAGAGCAAAAACCACTATTAGAAGTTTAGAACTTGAGTCTTATTAAAAATGAAATGAATGGTGAGGCTGAAGACTTGTGGTTGTTGATACACCACCACCAGCACAGAAAGTGATGTTTTCTCCTCTAAAGAGATCACGGGCAAGTCTCATAGTAAGAGACAGGTGAAAGGTTGTTCTCTTACAAGTGACAGCACTACAACAATTGCTGCTAGGTGCTATTTGTCATGTGTGAGGCTTATCGAGTAGCAGCTGGAGGCTGCTTTTCATCAATAACTGCCACAACTTACTAAAATACCTCATTAGGAAGATCAGCATATTAAGGTGGTGGATGTGCTCTCAAGTGGAAGAAGATAAACAAGCTTTGTAGTAGCTGTGGAAGAATCCATTCTTCCTACTCTGCTTAGATCAGTCTGGATCCTTTTGAGAGAAATGACCTTCCCCACATCATGTGCCAAATGTTGCCTTTCAGAAAGCTCACAATAATAGCTATATGGCAGGGCGATGCTACTCCAAATTCATTTCAGCTTTCATAGCAGTAGCAATACCTGCTGAATAACTTTCCTGCTGTTTAACAATTACAGGCATAGATGTGCCCTTCAGCGCCTGAGGTCAAGTTCATATTGGGACTGGCAGTAGTTCTTTTTTCTTGTCGTTTCAAAATTTACCTGTTCTTATAGTTGGGAGAGAAGCTGCTTTCTTTATCACCTCCTCTCCTCACCCCCTTCCTTCCTTCTATAATGTAGGAGCATCCCAAGCACAAGGGGAGTTTGGGGAGGGGAAGGGAATGAGAAGATGGGGAGGAAGGTTTTTCTCCCTGCTGCAGCAGCAGGCAGTTAAGGAGGTGGGTGGGGGATCCCATTTTCTCCCTGGGCCCCCAAGCAGTTCTTCTTCAGCTCAGCTTGCATTCCAATCTGGAGGGAGGTCTGCTTAGAATACACATTCCAAGAGTGCCAAATTTGTATGCTGACATAGGTAATTATGAGACTCAGCAGCAGCACTACAGAATGCTGCATCTATTAATTCAAGTATTTTTATGCAGTAAGGATAGGACACAGAGAGACCTTCGCAGCCTAACACAAACCTCTAATAAAGGAGAGAAACAGTGCTTGGTCAGTACTACTGATTTTAGACTGGTTTGTTTTATGGATTTCTTTTAACACTGAAAATAAGCCATGTGACTTATATTATTAACTGCCTCCCGCCCCCACCTTTGTCCAGATACTTGGAACAAAGTAAAATGTTATACTAGTGAAAGGAAGGAGTTTCTTTTCTGGCCAATAAGCACAATCCCAGCGCTGGGCTTTGTTTTAGGTCAAATCTCATAAAAATCACAAACACAAACCTCAAACATTTCCTTTGGGATCATGCCTGTCAAAATAAAGGTTTCACTTTATATTCAAATGACTCTTTTGTTTCAGAACTGGTCAAAGGAAGCCAATTGGGACTATTACCAACTGTAATATTAGTTTCAAAGTCTGCACTTAGGAAACAGACAAGCATCAATAAAAAGTCTGGGCGGCTGTCTCCGCAGGATGGGAGCCTGGGCGGGTAAATTATGCAAAAGAAGGGAAGGGAAACACAATGCTGGAGCACATGGAGTGGCACCTTTTAACCCCGAGGCCCCTGACGGTGCTGCGTTATTTCCCCGGGGAGAATCTCCATCCGGCCTGACTAACAGGCATTTCCACTCGAAGGGAACACGGCCTCTTCCCATTGGAGTTGCTGGAGGTGTAGCTTCAACAAGCCCACTGTGACTTCTGTGAGGTCTGCAGGATTTCCATTAATTTTAGTAATAAAGTTCCAGGGAAAACAATATAAAAAGTAAAATGACCCCCCAGTGTGTTGGTAGCACACGTTGTATTACTGAGAACTTCTTAAGTCTTAACTGTTAAGTGTTCATTCTGCTTAAATGCGGAAGAAGCGTCAGAATGTGTGTGTGCATGTGTTTTCACCTACCTGGTTAAAATTTGTTCTGCTATACTTCTGGCATGACTAAGGGCTCATCCACACTTTGAACTGCTGCTTCCCCCCAAGAAAACCTGTGGTTTAGTGCTGAGTCAGAACAGACGAGTTTTCTGCAGATTGCCATTGGTTCCAATGTAGCACTAAAGACTGAGTTTGCCATGGGAAAGGAGCAGGGCTAAGGCAAAAAGGCTTGGACCCTTGGCTAGAAGGCACAAGACAGGCAGAAAACTCTTTGGCTCCATGCTTTCACGGGACAAACGGATCTGTGAATGAGCGCTAAGAGGGATCTAGAAAGATGGTTCTAGCAGTGACCACAAAGGGTACTCTTATGAGCGAGCGGCTTTCAGCAAATTGCCATCATTTCGATTGAATTTATTCCCAGCCTTTATAGGAGGGAAGTGGCCTGAACTGGTATTTAATTTTCTGTTTTTATTTGCAGTTGTCATTCACCATGACAGTTGAAGATGCAATTAACAAAAGTTTATGAGCATTGAACATGTACAGTGTTAAAGTATAATTACTGACTGTAAAACTGGAGAAGCAGTGGAATGAGACAACACGGGGGTTGTTCACACACAGTGCTAAACCGTGGTGTAGCACTACATGAATGAGACGTGGCATACCTGAGCAAAGCATAGAGTTCCCATCCTTGCCCCTTTTCTCTCCTCCTTCTGAGTGGCTGGGAGGAATGCTTCTGTCTAGTTCAGATGTACTTTTAAAGAACCTTCATTTACAGTTTTGACCGGGCCTCCTGGTTCAAATGCGAAACTAAAGCTGAGATTACTTTAAACTGAACAAAACTTGACAGTTGTCTCCCTCTTGGCTTTGCAGGAAGAGACGGGAGTGCATGAGAAAAGTACAGTATTTCTCCAGTGTTTCCCAACCTCACCTGGGACCTTTGCATGCAGAGCATAAGATCCACCACTGAACTGAAGTCTTTTCTCTCAAATTATTAGGTGGGAGGAGTGTCTTGAGCAAACTTCAAGGGAATATGAAGCCCCCTCATGCCATGGCCTTTTCTATCCCAGCTCAGAATAAAGGATATGGGTCACCTATCAATTTATCAGCAAGCATCTCTCGTGCTGGCTATCCTGGACCCAGGTGGAATTAGCACCCCGTCTCAGTCACAAAAATTTAGACGACCTTGTAAGGTTAATCTATGATGTGCTCAGAGCACTGGCAGCATCTAAGCACTGCTAGCCACTATATTTCTGCACTTTGAATAGCAGGCATGAATCATTTCTCGTTTTGCTTCATTCTGTATGTTGCAGTTGACCAGAGAGTTTTTTACAAAGGAACTCAAGAAGCACTATCAAGGCAACAATGACTCCGACGTCTTCTCTTCCACCTGGAACTCGGTCATGATCACAGTGAGTAGTAGCTTGCCTAGTGCATCACTGCAGATGGACCCTGAGCCCTAATGAATGATCACTAGTCACCTTTAAGTAGCCTTACAAAGCCTAGACAGATATGTATGGTATATGATACAATGGCCAAGAGGTAAAATGTAATGACTCCCATCCATTTGTTGGGGAGAAAACGGATGGCAGACAAAACGCCACCCCCAATTTCTTCACAAACAGCTGGCTGGTATTTCTGGTTTCTTTTACACACGTGCAGCTGCATCAGCCTGGTGGATTGTCTGCAATCAAGCCTGATTCCATGCCCTATCTCAGGGGTAAGGAACGTGGCTCTTGAGACATCATTGGGCTTCAACTCCCATAAGACCCAGCCAGCATGGCTAATGGTCAGGGATTATGGGAACTGTAGTCCAGCAACATCTGAAGGGCAACAGGATGCCCACCCCTGCTCTTCCTGGATCATGGTGAATGTGAAATGCTTTTCTAATAGTCCTCTGTAACTGATGTGACAATTGGTTGTGATGGCTTTCATTTTAGCATTATATTATTAAGAAGACAGGGAGACTAGCCATAATGCTTGTCCATTAGTTCTGAAGATAGTCAAATATTAATCTCATCCTTCCATCAGTCAGGCACCGACAATATTTAATTACTTAAAATAAAAATAAACCGAGAGTCCTTCTGTACATTACATTTGGCCGTGCCAATGGAGCATCAGCTACAGGAAGATTTGGGCAGATAGGCAGGCAGGAGAGGATGTCTTATTCTACTGGATAAATCACATTGGCCATTATCCATAAAACTAATTACAACAACGAAAAACACTTTCATTCTGTGTTAAGGCAGGCTTTGTAGTTTTCCTTTCTATCTGTCTTAAACTCCCAGGGAAGCTGTTCCACTGTATTAAAAGCAATATTGAGGTGTGTGTATATTCTATGTCGAGGCAACCTACATTCTGCACCAAGAAAGGCTGAATTATGCAGTAGAAACCATGTGGATTTTACATGCACACGTTTGCTTATTTTGCAGAATTACTTTGTGTTGCTTAATTATGAGAAAGAGCAAATAACTATCCAGGGCACTAAAGACTGAGCACTGGAAACTCCCCTGAGCCAACTTTGATCTTTGAAGATTTCGCCATATGTTACACCCACAGTTTCCAGCTTGCCTTCGCAATCCTAATGGCTAGTCACAAGCTTTTTTTTAAAGGGTGGGTGGGGAGGAAAGAGGGAAAAAATGAAGCATGGAAAGCTTTGAGAGAATCTAGAACTGTATGTTGTTTGTATGTCTGCAGAAGCCACACAGCCTGCCATACTGAATCCATTTGAATATGGATGGTTCCTATGCATCTTCTGTCATTCAGGTTTCATATTATTTTCAATGGCTCTGTGATGCCTCCTATCCTGCAGAGAGACAGTATCAACTATTTAATCACCTTTCCTGTCTGCTAGTTTGGCTGCTGTGGTGTCAATGGTCCAGAAGATTTTGAAACTGGCCCTCATCTTCGTCCCCTGTATTCACACGATGCAATTCCTGAAGCTTGTTGTCGACGGGAACTCCAATCTCGTAATGGAGCATTCATCAACAAAGAAGAGTGTCTCAGGGGTAATGATATGTATCAAAACCAACAGGTAAGGGCAACACAGAAATGGGATTTTAAACTATTGGGTGGGGGGAATGTACAGTATGGCGTGTGCAAGCACCCATCTTAAAGTCCCTTTAAAAAAAACTTATTTGTGCCAAAACTGATGTAGACTTTGCCCCTTTCTTTTTTGATTAACACAGTGGAATAAAAGTGTTCAATGATCTTTCATGATACTTTCCACAATCCTTCAGTGTGATTTACTGTTGCCCACATTTTTCAGATGAGGAACTGAGATTGAGAGATGGTAACTTTCCCAACACCACACAGTATGCCTATAGAACAGGAGAGAAAGTTGAACCCAAGGATCTGTGACGGCTTTCACAATTGCAAACCATCCGCCATACAGAATTGAAACCTGTTTTGTGTTTCTTATAACTGGCAGAAGTAGTGAAGGCAGTCCCCTGCCCAGCTCTTTTGGGCAGCATATTTGTTCCAATAGTTGCAAGGAATATTCCCTTCTTTCTAGTGCCATCTAGGCAAAATCTCTGCTTCTCAAGTTCAGCAGAAGCAAAGAGGCTAAGTGATCCATGTAATAATGTACAAGGGGAGAGTGAGTAGTCCTGTGGGCAGGTGTGGTATGTGTGGTGAACAAGAGATTATTTTGGAGTAAAGTGCCAAAACATGAGGAAACATGGGCAGGAAATTGAGGGACCCAGAATGGTTGATACAGCGTGGCAACTTGCAGATCCAAGAGTGATGCCATTGGCTTGAGGATTCAGTATTATCAGCATGTAATTTTGGTGAGTTACCTACCCTGATTTGATGTTATAAACTATATCCAAGGCAAGCTGGAGTAGATGCAGGCAGAGCAATCCAAACACAGTCTAGTGGGGCAGGTGTGTGGATGGAATAGAGATATAATAATAATAATAATAATAATAATAATAATAATAATAATAAATTTATTTATACCCTGCCCATCTGGCTGAGTTTCCCCAGCCACTCTGGGCGGCTTCCAATCAAGTGTTAAAAACAATACAGCATTAAATATTAAAAACTTCCCTAAACAGGGCTGCCTTCAGATGTCTTTTAAAAAGAAGATAGCTGCTTATTTCCTTCACATCTGGTGGGAGGGCGTTCCACAGGGCGGGCGCCGCTACCCAGAAGGCCCTCTGTCTGGTTCCCTGTAACCTCACTTCTCGCAATGAGGGAACCGCCAGAAGGCCCTCGGTGCTGGATCTCAGTGTTCGGGCTGAACGATGCGGGTGGAGACGCTCCTTCAGGTATACAGGACCGAGGCCATTTAGGGCTTTAAAGGTCAGCACCAACACTTTGAATTTTGCTCGGAAACGTACTGGGAGCAAATGCAGATCTCTCAGGACCGGTGTTATGTGGTCCCGGCGGCCACTCCCAACTCTCAACTCTGGTGGCTAAAACAGCCTGCTGCCAAACATACTGGGTGGGCAGGACGCCCACTGACATTTCCCCCACCAGTGGTGGCCAGCGGTAAGTCCCTACACGTTCTGAGGGCAGGGAGAGTGTGGCGCTGAGTTGGACCTTAAGATGTGGTCTCACAGCTGCCATGCATTGGGCCTGGCCTGAAGCTAAGAGCTGTGCCAGCCCAGAGCTGGCAAAGGGATCAGGCCCTGCCATCCTGCCTATGTTTTGCTGTTGCTGCTGAGGCTGTGGATACAGTGGTGGCCCAACCTCCGCAGAGCCCTGGTGGTGCACCCTTAAAAGGGATAGATTTTGCAAAATGTTTGAAAACTTGAGATCTTGCCAAGCCAGAGAGACGACGTGAACTTCTTCTAAAGGTGGCAGGTTTTGCGATTTTCATTGCCATAGAATGGAGATGTTGCAGTTCCGCTTCATCAACAACAACATCATCATAATTTATTTCTACCCCACCCATCTGGCTGGGTTTCCCCAGCCACTCTGGGCAGCTCCCAACAGAATATTAAAAACACAATAAAACATCAAACATTAAAAACTTCCCTAAACAGGCTGCCTTCAGATGTCTTCTAAAAGTCAAGATGGTAGCACATCAGAAAAAATATACTAGTTGACCTAGACTCATTCAGTATTGTAAAACTAATTAATGACGGTGTCTGGAATTCAAGAACTTGCATCTCCAGAGCTGGGTTGAAAAAGAAAATTTAAGTCAGCTTGTTGAACTCTTTTCCTTTGCAACGTGATATGTTTGTTCATCTGTTTACGTATCTATGCATCCTGTAGAACAAATGGGGTCTCTGTAGTTATATTTCTGTCAGCCTTGCTGTAACTCCTGGATTATGCTTAGCTGGTCAGCTTTTGTGTCCCTATGGGCTATGCTGTCAAAATGAACTTTTAATGGACGCTCCTTCTTCCAGGGATGCTTGAAGAGGGACCTGTCATTTCATGTCTTACCAGGTCATCAAAAACGACCCCTGAAACACTTTGACTATGAGTTTGGTTCATGGCAGTTTCTTTCTTCCTAGGGCTGCTACACTGTGATACTTAACTCCTTTGAGACGTATGTGTACCTTGCAGGAGCTCTTGCCATTGGCGTATTAGCCATCGAGGTATAGTGGAAGGTTTCATTATTACTTTTTAATAGAATTTGCATACCTTTTAATTGTAAATTAAACCTCAAAGCAGTTTGAGTTGGTATGCTAAACACCATAAATCATGTGGTTTCCTTTTTGTAGCTTCCCACCACATCTTTCTGTCTAATTTAGTTGTATATTATCTGTAGTAGTTTAAAAGTGGAAGAATTTATTTGAAGGGAGAAAATATAATCAGACACTGCCCTCTGCTGTTGGGCATAGTATAAACAATAGATGCATCAGACATGACGAACTTGCTCATTCTAAATTCGCATCTAAAATGAATTCAAGGGGTTTTATTTATCTGAAATTGTAAAATCAAAATAGATATATTTAATTATTAATTTTGAAATTATTCATATGTTTGATAGTATGCCAGCAAAGAGGGCTTTTAAATGTATTTTTTTTAAAAAAAGCCAGTGATATTCAATAGAACATGCAAAGGATATTGACTGCTTGCATATACAGTGGTACCTCTGGTTACGTACTTAATTCGTTCTGGAGGTCCATTTTTAACCTGAAACTGTTCTTAACCTGAAGCACCACTTTAGCTAATGGGGCCTCCTGCTGCCGCCGTCGCGCAATTTCTGTTCTCATCCTGAAGCAAAGTTCTTAACCCGAGGTACTATTTCTGGGTTAGCAGAGTCTGTAACCTGAAGCGTATGTAACCCAAGGTACCACTTGTAATGCTAAAGCCAAGCTCCGTGGTTTGCTTTAAATTCCATATTCCAAGCAATGTGCTGACACGCACAACTTAATAATGATGATAATAATAATAATAATAATAATAATAATAATAAATTTTATTTATATCCCGCCCTCCCCAGCCAAAGCCAGGCTCAGGGCGGCTAACAACAAATAAATAATCAAACAATTAAATAGTCCAACATTCTAAAACATTTCATTATAAAAATTAATTAAAATCAAATTAATGGCAACCGTTGAGCAAAGTTCTGTGTAGGTTGCCGGAGGTGGGAGTCAGGCTGGGCCCTGACCAAAGGCCTGGTGGAACAACTCTGTCTTGCAGGCCTTGCGGAAAGATGTCAGGTCCCGCAGGGCCCTAGTCTCTTGTGACAGAGCGTTCCACCAGATTGGAGCCGCAGCCGAGAAAGCCCTGGCTCTAGTTGAGGCCAGCCTAACCTCTCTGAGGCCTGGGACCTTCAGGATGTTTTTATTTGCAGACCGTAGGTTCCTCTGTGGGGCATACCAGGAGAGGCGGTCCCGTAGGTACGAGGGTCCTAGGCCGTATAGGGCTTTAAAGGTTAAAACCAGCACCTTAAACCTTAAACCTTAAAATAATAATAATATTTATATGCCGCCCATCTGGCTGGGTTTCCATAGCCACTCTGGGTGGCTTACAGTTTGAATAATCTCACTTCATTCCTCATTGGGAAGTAAACCACAGAGGGGCTGAATTAGCATTGCAACCAAGCTAATGTTCCATGGTTTGTTTCTCCTAAACAGACTATGGAGCATTACTTTGGTCTGTTTCTCCCAAACAAACCATGGTTGGGAAGTCAATAACAAACCTAGTTTGTTCATGATTCGTTTTCAGGCAGAGAAATCACATGCATAGCTTCAGATGCAACACTAACCCAACCATTGCATAGCTTGACCCTTTTTCCAGCTAGGGTAGCAGAGTAGGTGCACTTAAACTGCAAGTGCACATTAGTTCAAAAAACCCTACAGCTTGGCTTAATGTTACACATGTACACATCTGTGCTGTGTTCAGAATTCCCCAGTTAGGGGGCTCTTTGGGGGCATATTTGACTTTGTGCCCTTCATGCTTGTTTTGTGCTGTGCTTGCTTTGAGAGCTGGACCACAGCTGAGTCTGGTCAAGTCTTTCTATTTTAATGGGCTGTTTTGTCTCATTTCTAACTTCTTCTCAGCTGTTTGCCATGATCTTTGCCATGTGCCTCTTTCGGGGGATCCAATAGAAAGCTTTCCATGACCAGCTGAGCATATTCCGACTACACGCTTTGAAGAAAGGAAAGAGAGAAGATGAACTTTTGTTTTTTGGCTAACGAAGTGGGGGGGGGGGGAAGGACTGTAATATATGAATGACCAAAAGGATTGTACTTCAGGGGCTGGAACTTTGAGGTGCTGTGCACTATGTTGTTGTTTCCCAGGACTGTCATTCATCAGAAACCACACACACTGGGTTGCACTAGGAGCCTACGAGACAGGAAGAGAGTGAGTTCTGGTGGTCTCCATGAAGCAGGATGCTTCACATCTTTAACATGATTGTGCTACATCAATTGGTGAGAAAGTGAAGGATGCCCTCCCCCCAAATATAAGTAGGATCTGGATTCAGCATCCAAAGGGAACTGCTCAGCCAAAGCATTGTGACGGACACAGGTCAGGCCAGTTTTAAACAACAGTCCTCAGTCAAGATGGGCAGAAAACTATCACCTGAAATATCAAGATGCTTCAAGCTTTCTTGTGTCGCGAGGAATTGATAAATTCCTTCACCTGGAAACATATAGGAGGAGCTGAGCCTGCTGTGTTGGACAATAGCAGAAGAGGCATCCTTTTCAAGTCCAGGAGGAGGATGGAATGAAATCAGAAATTTAGTGCATACCTTTTCTTTGTCATAATGGATTTTCCGTTCAGTATTCTGTGAGAGGGGGGAAGACGAAGGCAGTTCTACAGCAGACTTCCTCACCATTGTTTAATTAAAAAAAAAAGTGTTCTCATCTGTAATTGTTGGTGCTGTCTCCCTTAAGGAGAAATAATTATTTGTTTTGTTTTTAAAGCTTTTGAATGTTTTGTCACCACCATGTTACGTGCAAATTATGTTGCCTAGTTTGGCCTTTTGTAGCAACTGATTAGCTTGTTGTCTTCATGTTTCAGTGTGTGCCTTTCAGCTGTGTGGAAAAAATATATATATCTTCCCAAACGGCAATGAGAGCAGTGAGAAACCTTTGCAGCTGTCCTTTGCACAGTTTCATTTGTGACTCTTGTACATTGCTTATGTTCTGAGCAATTCTCACTCAGTACTTCCCATGAGTTACGAAAAACCTAAATGGAATGGCATATGCTCTGACCTGAATCTCTCCCATCTTTGCTGCCAGAGATGCTGGTGAGTTGTTAAGACCATAGTGAAAGTAATATGCTGAACAAGTGGCTTATGGAGACACAAACTGGCAAAGAAATATATGCGGCACCCAGAAGCAGCAGTAGGCAACTGGCAAAAGGACTGGGATATGGTGATACCACATGGCATGAGAGTTTGAGAAAGGCAACTCGTGAGGTATACTGGGAAGCACATCAATGAGCATTTATCTCAGAAACAGTGGAGGTTGCCCCACTTGAGGCAATCAATGAGAAAATGCTTTTTAAAATATATAATGAATCTCTGCCTAACAAATGACTTCAAATGCTGACTTGAATCTTTGTGTGATCCTTGACAATCTCTCCCATAAAAGGTATGGTTTTCATTTGAATTTAGTTGAGTTCTGCAAGTTATAGAGTGAGAGAAATGCGCAGCATAACTGAAAAAAATGGACGTTACAGTGTTGTTTGCTCCAGCTGGCACCAACTACCCAAAAACCCTTTAAGGATTTGTCTCCTCTGACGTTTAAAGTGAGCACGGCCACACTTTAAATGGCAATCATGGCAGACAAGGTAAAAACTTCTTAAGCTATACTTTTTTTTTGCAGTGCCAAGTGGGCGACTCTACAGCTCCCGACCTCTCACTTGGGTCTGAAGAGGATATTGTGAGCATGTTTCGCTGAACACCTTTTGCAGTCCTCCCTAACCCTCTGGAACGGTGTGTTTTCAACATTCCTAATCACCAAGAGAGCTGAATGTTCAACAGAACATGCTTACAATCCCTGCTCCGGAGTTATTTGCTCACTGTGGGAAGATGTTTGGGGTGAAGGTGACAATGTGCACAACCCCACACCCTCTCTGTCAATGAGCTTAAGGACACCTGCAGAGAGCTTATGGCAGCTTGAGTCTAGGTTCCTGACATCACTGTCCTCTTTCAAAAGTTCTGCTGCTGTGGCCTGTGTTCTCCCTTGTGGGAGACGTTTTCTATCTCTCGCTGGCATTTGGTTTTCTCTTGCCTGCTTTCTTCAGTTTCCATCTACCTGCTTCATCTTCCCTGTTTCTTTAAATCAGTCATGTGCGCAGCCATCATTTTTGGTAAAGATAACACAAACAGCTTCAGAGCATTGTGGAAACTGTTGCTGAGATGGTCCCTGCCTGTGTACCTAAATGACTAGTACTTCAGTAGTATCTGTCCAAAGTGTAGGCATCTGTGGCAACTGCGGAACACCACCAAGGGCTCACCCAGACTTCCTTTTGTGCTGCTTTTCTAGGCATAGCTCTGCACTTGAAAGCTCTGTGTCAGAACACTTAATAATAATAATAATAATAATAATAATAATAATAATATTGTTGTTGTTGTTGTTTTTGTTGTTGTTGTTGTTTCCCCCTAGTGCTTTCCCTGTGAAAACCTGCTCTTTACAGCTGAAACAGAGCAAACAGCAATCTGCTGAAAACCTGAATTGCTATTTGTTCCAAAGCAGAATAAAGAGTGGGGAAACCAGGGCAAAGAAACCCAAAAAGTGCTGGGACATGGAGCTTGAAAGTGCAGATTTGTGCCTACAAAGCACGGGGCAAAAGGTCAGTGGGAATGAGCCCCAACACTGGGAAGGAACCATTTGAGGGGTAAGGAAATGTTATGTTCATTTACTTGAACACAAGACTTCAAATAAAAAATATTTGCACCTTCATGGTCTAAAAGGAACAATCCTTTATCTGGTTGATTTTGTGGTTCTTGGGGAACCCAGCCATAGCCCCCTCCTGCAGGTTATTTACTTGCTACCTGGGCTGTGTTATGGAAAAGAACTCTCTTACCCAAATCTCTAATGACACTTGGAAGAAGCTCTGTTAACTCCATTGCAACTGACTTCCTCCATTTTAGCGTTGGGGGGTTAGTTAGGCTGCAAGCTTGAATACCAGTGGCGTGCAGTGAATTTTTTTTGCAGGGAATGTTTAGGGCCAGAGGCGCCAGCTTGCGAGGACAATTGGAGGAACCAATGTCCTGATGTCACTGTGAGCATCCCTAAGCTGCACAGAAGCTTCCCGGGCTTCAGGAAGGATGTACCGGGGAAACATTTAGGCGACTAACCCAGTCACCCTAGTCCACACAACTGCTGAATACATGGAAGTTAATCAACTTCCCATTGAAACATGAACTTCCAAGAAATTGAAAGCCTAACACTGGATTTCCAGTGCTGTGCAAGCAGAGACCAGCACTGACTGGGTCCATCTGGCTGTTTCAGAGGAAGGGACACACTCCAACATAAAGCTCTCAAGCAAGTCCCACTGAAATGACTCTGAGCAGTTGAGGTATTGCGCAACTCCCAAGCTTTGAAATGGAACTTGCAAAAAGAGAGAGAGCTTCACCCTCAAGTTCGTCTGTAATCTGTTTTTGTGAACCTAGATCCACTCGGTTCCCCCCGCCCCCATCTGTTGTCACTGTTGCAAGTGCCTGGAAAATGGGCCACTTGGAGTAAATGTTGAAATCTATTTACCTAGAGCTAATTTAACTTGTATTCCCTATTGTAATGCTTTTTATATTGAAAGGGTTTTTGTAACATAAAACAGAACACTACGCCGAAGCAATTCTGCACAGTTTCTAAGTGCATTTCTTTAGGAAAATAAAAATAAAAAGACAAAAATAAAGACACTATGATACCAAAAATGGCCTCACTTTTTACATTTTTTAAAAAACACACCTGCTATCTCTTTCTCACAGGAGTGATAAAACCTCGTGACAGTGATTTTTCTTAAAGCCCAAACAGCGAACACTAGTTCTAGCTAGGAGGGTCTATGTCAACCATGAAAAATGCATGTATTTTCCAAACCTCTGCTGACTTTCAGGAAGCCTTTTTTATTTTCAGAGGTGACTCTAGATGCAGTTACAGGACGAATTAAAGTCAGGTTGCTCACTGGGATAAGCAGCTTTGAGCATATTACACTGATCCTGGCCTGACTGCACTGGTTGTTGGTTAGTTTCTGGGCCTAATTGGTTTTGACCTATAAAGCCTTAAATGTCTCAGGACCGCAATACCTCGAGGACCGCCTCTCCCCAGATATACCAATCTGGACTTGATGTGATCCTCTTCTGAGGCCCGTCATGTACCTCCCCCATGAGAGGTCTGGAGGGTGGTGCCACATAAATGGGCCTTTTCTGTGGGGGCTTCCTGTCTGTGGAATGCTCACCCCAAGGTGGTTTGCTTGGCACCTTCATTATGTATCTTTAGGCAGCAGGTGAAAATATTTGTCTTCAACCAAGCCTAAGGCTGATTAACTTTTGTGGTTTTTATACTGTGTCTGTGGGAGGGGGCTTATTGGTTTCTTTTGCTTTTATTATGTCTTTTCTCTTTGTAGTTTTTATGTTGTAAACCGCCCAGTGATCTTCGGCTGAAGGGTGGTATACAAATATAATAGCTAATGAACTAAACTAATAAAGTCCATAAGGGAACTTTGGGGCTACACAATTAGTGGGTTGTAGAATTCTGTTGCCCTGGTGCAATAAATCTACCCCTTTAAAAAACCCACTTTTTGTTGTTTGGCAAGTAGCATGGTAATGCCTTGGAAAGGGTGGGATGACTGACTGACCAACTAATGGGGAAGATGTATAAATTCACCAAACAGATCACCTCAAAGGCTTCAGTAGCTTTGGAAAGAGTTTAGGTACTTCTGTTACTTTGCAAGCACTGCTTTGCTAATCTGTTCCTATTGTAATAGGAATGCAGCTGGGCTACTGTTGCCATTCCTTATTTACCTGCTCCTGGTCATCAGTCCTGTTGAACTTCATCAGGCTTATTTCTGAGATACATCGCAGGATTGCACTGTAAGTAACTATGTAGAAGACATTCAGAATGCTGGGTGTTAACAGGTACAAGGTGAATTATGAATAATATTTGATTGGGAATCCCCCTCCCTCCCACAGATATATATACCTAGATGAAAGAACTTTCAGGTCCAGGATTCATAACGAAGGCTCTGTGATAAGCCATTCGTAAATTTGGACCTATGCCTCAAAAAAAAAATGTGCGCACAGTTACAAAATCATGTTTGATTTTGAAAAAGGTAGGATGAACACTAACCATGTGCATTTTATGTATAGGATAACTGGTGAAATGAAACTTGTGCAGGGACATGCAAGCAGTATGTGGCTGCAGCTGCGTTGGGTCTCTGCCTTGAACATACAGTCTTAGCTAGTCTTACATTAGCAACAACAGCCTACCACTGCTATCAACTTAGGTTTGATGCCACTGGCATCCACCTCAAATGCTGCATGGCAGCAGCGGTTAAAAGCCACGTCTTTTTAGTTCTCACTCTTGTTTGCAAAAGAGTGCAGAATTTTTTTAAGGGGTCAGCTGTTGAGGTGTGGGTTGGGAAAGAGGGACACACCCCTATTGCTGAGGTAGAATGAAATAAACTGGATATGCATCTCAATGGACAAAGAAATGCCCTGTGCATTAATGGCATTAGCATGGGGATAATCATCCTTCAATATGGAATAATAATAATAATAATAATAATAATAATTTATTATTTATACCCCGCCCATCTGGCTGGGCTTCCCCGGCCACTCTGGGCGGCTTCCAAAAGAATATTAAAATACTATAATACATCAAACATTAAAAGCTTCCCGAAACAGGGCTGCCTTCAGATGTCTTCTAAAAGCCTGGTAGTTGTTGTTCTCTTTGACATCTGGTGGGAGGGTGTTCCACAGGGAAGGCGCCACTACCGAGAAGGCCCTCTGCCTGGTTCCCTGTAACTTGGCTTCTCGCAGTGAGGGAACCGCCAGAAGGCCCTCAGTGCTGGACCTCAGTGTCCGGGTAGAACGATGGGGGTGGAGACGCTCCTTCAGATATACTGGACCAAGGCCGTTTAGGGCTTTAAAGGTCAGCACCAACACTTTGAATTGTGCTCGGAAATGTACTGGGAGCCAATGTAGGTCTTTCAAGACCGGTGTTATGTGGTCTCTGCGGCCGCTCCCAGTCACCAGTCTAGCTGCCGCGCTCTGGATTAGTTGTAGTTTCCGGGTCACCTTCAAAGGTAGCCCCACGTAGAGCGCATTGCAGTAATCCAAGCGGGAGATAACCAGAGCATGCACCACTCTGGCGAGGCAGTCCGCAGGCAGATAGGGTCTCAGCCTGCGTACCAGATGGAGCTGGTAAACAGCTGCCCTGGACACAGATTTGACCTGTGCCTCCATGGACAGCTGTGAGTCCAAAATGACTCCCAGGCTGCGCACCTGGTCCTTCAGGGGCACAGTTACCCCATTCAGGACCAGGGAATCCTCCACACCTGCCCGCCTCCTGTCCCCAAAAAACAGTACTTCTGTCTTGTCAGGATTCAACCTCAATCTGTTAGCCGCCATCCAACCTCCAACCGCCTCCAGGCACTCACACAGGACCTTCACTGCCTTCACTGGTTCTGATTTGAAAGAGAGGTAGAGCTGGGTATCATCTGCATACTGATGAACACCCAGCCCAAATCCTCTGATGATCTCTCCCAGCGGCTTCATGTAGATGTTGAAAAGCATGGGAGAGAGGACAGAACCCTGAGGCACCCCACAAGTGAGGGCCCAGGGGTCTGAACACTCATCCCCCACCACCACTTTCTGAACACGGCCCAGGAGGAAGGAGCGGAACCACTGTATAACAGTGCCCCCAGCTCCCAGCCCCTCAAGACGGTCCAGAAGGATGTTATGGTCGATGGTATCAAACGCCGCTGAGAGATCCAGCAGAACTAGGAAACAGCTCTCACCTTTGTCCCTAGCCCGCCGGAGATCATCAACCAGTGCGACCAAGGCAGTTTCAGTCCCATGATGGTATCCCAGCTAGTCATGCTGTGTAATAGAGCCCCCACTAGTACTGGGTAAAGCAGTTACCACTGGTCTGGGGAAATGTTCCCACCCTGCTTTTGTTGGCTGGGGACATGGCACTACATGATTCCCACATGGCTGAGAACATGTAGGGAAGAAGCCCTTTCAAGTTTAAAAACAGCACTAAAGCTACAACTGATCAGAGGAACAATAGCAGGGAACAGATGTGGAAACCGTGCAAGCGAAACTGCATTTCTGCAAATGATTAAAAGAAGCCCCCACAAAAAATCCCCCACAAAAACCTCACTTTAGTAGCAGCAAATTAATCCTCACAGGGCAAAGCTATACAAAGGTTAATAAAAGGGAGTTTATAGGAGATCCCAGATTGAGAGAGCTGCTACCATTCAAGGGAGTACATTAAGGGAGCTCCTTGCACCCCATGCCTGAGTCACAGTGGCTTCAAAGTAGTGCCTTGCTGTGTGCAAAGTCTTTTAACACTTCTGGGATTGCTTTGCCTGCTTTTCTCTAAAACAAAGATCAAGGGCAGTTGCATGAGGGAGGAAGGTAGCATGTGCTATGAAAAACAACAGCATGAGCAACAGGATTCCACGGGGGGTGGGGGGTGGGATCTCTTGTGTTATGGTGGCCTCATGTAAATAATGTGCTGTACTACTGAGCAATGGCCTCTTCTAGTCTGTATGAAACTCATACCCATGCCTGCTGCAGCCACAAATACAAGAACATGCCTAAGGTAACAGCCCTACAAGGCCAGGTATCAACTATTGGTGTGACTTGTTGACTATCCCAAGGTGAATTTTGGTCAAAGGGTCAAGTGAAATTAGGTGTGACTTTACTGATGCTTTTGTTTTTTTGAATGCCGATTGTATAAACATTGGGACCAGAAAGTAGACAAAAAAGTTGCAATTTAGAAGCAGTTATAGTTCCTCCTTCCCCCATTCCCCCAGCTCAACTCATGATTTTTGGACATCAGGTGAAAGAAACTCCGAAAAGGCTCCTCTTTCTGCAGTCCAGTCATCTTCAAAATAGGCCCAGCCCCAGTCCCAGACCCTCCTTGATGCAAAATGCTCAAAGCCAGGCAGCAACTGCTGAAAACCGTACTTGTTTCACATAGTGTACATACAGACGAGAAAACTGAGAGTGACACTTAAAACTAGCATTAACAAAATTGCTCAGGTTGGAGGAGTTAAACCTCACGCTGGACCACTAGGCACCATTACCCTGGGATTCTAAAGTCTACACTTGCATGATCAACATGGATATTCAGTTCAAATAGTTTTTGAGGACCCACTTGATGCGGCCTGGAACTGCAACATACATGGTAGTCCAAGTTCATGCAGACGTTTGATGCCAAAAGAAGTAAAGAAAGTCTTCGGGCGACCACTGCAGGCAAAAGACGGTGCATGTTGCCAACAGTCCATGACGGGTTCGTGTGACTTTCTGAGAACATTTTCTTCTTGCTGCTGAAGGTGTAAGGATGTTGTCTCAGTCTCAAAAGGGTAATGTGTGTGCTGTTCCCGTGTAGGTACTGCAGTCCTGGCACAAAGGTGGAGACACAGGCAGCTGTCCTAGATTTGCTGCATCCACTTCAAAATGGCTGGTTCATCTCGACACACCTATCCTGACAAACAGCCTTTAAATCCACAATGAATACAGAATTCCTCCTGTCTCAGTTCAAGGGGAGTACAAAATGCAAAGACTATACTGTGAGGTGTATCTATGGAGGACTGAGATTTGAAACTTCATTGCATTTATCAAAAGCTTTAAAAATGGGAAAATGCTAGAGCAGAGCCCAAAGTAATAAATAAGACTGTGGTCTGTAGGAGGATGGTAAACACTTCCCAATTATATTTGAAATCCCAACAAGGGTAGGGGGTGAGGAGAAGAGGAGGAGAGATTTCAAACTTTGGTCTGTTTGCCTATTTGGGAAAAATTCATTGGCACACTAAGAGAAACATCCTTCAACATCAAAACTATACTAGTCTTTCCAACATCATTATTCACACTGAGATTGAGGCAGGAGATATCAATGGCATATATTCATTGCTTTAATTTTGGTTAAGAATGAAATGCCAATTGTCAGAATGCCTCAGATGTTTGGGATGGGTTGTCCATCACTACTGGCAAACATTACAGAGGCCATCAAACCTGGAGAGCACCACTGATCCCACTCTCTAGCACAGCCAGTGAGTTCAGGAGACTTTGCAGCCCTATGGCAGCCTCTTCCTCACACCAAGCAGGCAACTGATGTGCAAACATGCCTCTGGGCCCAGACTCATATCCAAAACTTACAATATGGTAAAAGTAAGCAATTCAGTTGGAGTATAATCCTGTGGAAAGTGACAGAGGAATCAGATGTACACAACCTCTTCCACTGCTAATCTATTTCACAGAAGGCTAGAAGGACCACCACAACTGGGGAGTGGGGGGGAAGGCTAATACACATGTCATTTCAGCATATGCATTGAACTAGTCTAGCAAGTACATGCAACCACTTTCTATCATGGCCTTTTCCTGCAGTTTTCTTGGTCACTCAATTTAGGAATGTGTTCCCACAAAACTATAGTATTTTCCTTTTGAAAGGGCTGGTGCCTGGCAGCAATTAAACGATATAGTGCAGAAGTGGCTAATCCCTGGGCCTTCCAGATGTGGCTGGACTACAACTTACACTATCCCTCACGGTTGGCCATGCTGGCAGAGGCTGGCTGCAACTGAAGCTCCAACATAATCTGGAGGGCCACATCTTGCCCACTTCTGTTCAAGTGTATTACTGTGTGTTGCCATTTTTTGTAAACAAGAGATTGTGTGAACTCACGGTTTCCTTATTGGTCCCTTGCCCCATTTCCTTTCTAACAGACTCCATCCAGAATCATCTGAAGGCATTTTTGTAACATTTAGAACTAAAAAGGCCAACAGAATAAACCAACAGGAAGAGGGCTGGTAGGGTTGAGGGGAGGGAGAGAGATACCCCACAAAACAAAGAGGCAGCAATAGCCAAATCTGATATTTTCACAAGAACTCCTAAAATCAGCTGGAATCATTTCTTAAAATTACTACAGCAAATGCTCTTTTTTTTAAAAAAAGAATAGGTTGCATTCATAGCAAGGACATCACTACCTAAGGAATCTCTGACTTCCAATGTCCTAGAAGATGAGGAAAATATGGCCATAGAACTTCCTTTTGAGCCCTTTATATGGCAAGTCCCCAGCACACATTTCAACCGAAGGGAATGCTACCAAAAGCCCCAACAGCAGATTGCTAGTTGTAGAGAGAAAATTCCCAATCTGTCCCCTGTACACAGAGCTGATATCACTTTCTTTGCCCTTTGGATGTCATTTTGATATGATACTCTGTTTCCACGAGTGTATATTTTGATCATGTGCCACTGCCTAGATTCACAGAGGAGAATGGCTACGAATAGCTGATCTTGCCCACCCACATCCCTGAATCTGCCGCCTTATCACTGTTTTCCTGTCCTCTTCCCATAGGCACCATGGAGTCATCTTGACCTCTCCTTTTCCACGTCCAGTGTGGTGGCAACAACAGCACTGGATTTATTTATACATTGATGCATGCCGTAAGGAAGTCTGGTTGTTGTTTTTGAAAGAAAGAAAGAAAGAAAGAAAGAAAGGGAAAAAAGCCCCACAAAAATGAGCGAAAGGAATGCAGAAATTATGACAGACCCTTCTCTGCACCAGCCCTCAGCAGTCCTGGAGGTTAGACTTTCTTGGGTCTGCGTCCAAGTTGGTAATAATAATAAAAGCTGATAAGTACAAAGAGGACCCGACTGATGAGGAGCAATGTGGCTCCCGTGGACCCCCGGCCGCTCTCAACCAGGGTGATGCTGGTGACTGAAAGAGAGAGAAAAGGCAGGTTGGAAGAAAAGAAATACACGTTTTCAAAACCCTCTAGAACACCTCTTGAGAAAACAGGAAAAGGCCACTTCATGCCTACTCTAGCAGAACATGGATGCTTTGGTTGCAGTTAGAACTGCAGATCGTTGCTTCTATGAAGCAGTGTCTATTTGGTTCTGAGAGCTGCTGCCCTCAGGCCCCGCTTGCAGGCTTCCCAAAGGTTGGCTGCTGTGAGAGCAGGATGCCAGTGGCTGAATCCAGCAGGCTCTTCCTACATTCTTGACTTTAACAGAGAAACAGTGCTTGTTTTTGGTGAGAGACGGGTGCTGGAGTGGTTAAGACCTTGCTGAATGACACATCCCACTTGACATGAGCTACTGATGCCACAGAAAGGCATTCTGTGGTGTGGGTTCCCTGCAGCAGCCTTAAGAGTGCAACCTATGACACATGTCTTCAACATGTTTCGCCTTTAAAAAAATCAGGCATGCAACCGAAGCAGCTACGAGATTTTACTTGGCACTCAAGGGCCAAGTTGCGCTCTGGCAAGTAGAATCTAATTGCATACCAGCAAATTCAGGTTCCACTGGATTTAGCACCCTTACTTCCCCCTCCCTCCCCTTGCAGCATGTGAATCCCAATATGTTTTGTTTCCGCGTGCTTCCATGGCACAGTTTTATTGGTTTTGCATTGTATTTTTGTTTTAATGATATTGTTTTTATATTGTGCGCCGTTTAAGAGATTCTTAAACTATCAAGTAGTTTATAAACACTTCTAAATAACACAGCTGAGAAGACCAAGAAAACAAACTGGGGGAAAGACTTGCAATTCAGAAAAGCCTTAATAGAGAGACATCGAAGGAGACACATGTCAGCAGCATTCACCGTTCCCTGTTTTTGCTTGTTACAGGATCTCTAACTGGGTCCTTGGTATGCATTTGTCTGAATACACCCCATCTTTTGTGTGTTATGACTGAGGGTTAGTGTGCTAAGTTGAGCTATTGCTTCACTCCTATTTCTATTCACCTCTTTCTAGGGTTCTCTCTTCTGAAGGACAAGAAATATTCCAGCTTCATAATATTGATTTTTAGGAACAAAAGCTTTGAACTTTCATGTTTGGTCTGAATGTTTAGTCCTTGTATCCTTGCATTCTCCTTTTGCAAAGAAAGGCCTGTGTGTCTTGGGCCTGATTAACCTCAGCATGAGACCTTACCCCGTGTATCGAAGTTTCCCTTCCATGATAAAAGCAAAGGGAGAGCATGACCATAAAGAGGCATATTTACCCAAGAACTGTACTCCAAAGTAACATGCTTCTGTCAGCAGAGTCCAACGCATTATGATCTTCTCAGCTGTGTACAAAGCATTCCACATGATGAGGGAGATACCTAAAGATGATTGGAGGGAAAGGGATGACAGAGGGAAAGGGGAGGTGTCATCTACTGAAGCCACATGTAGAAAGACATAGCCTTCTAAGAAGTGCTGTTGATACAAACACATTAATATGCTCCTTAAAATCTTGCTATCATCATCATCAAACGGAAGTTATAGTGAAATCTCTTAAAACTGACCTAACAATATCAAATCATAAAGTGATATGAAAGTTTTGAAATAAGATTTAAGTTTCCAAAGCTTGCCTGGCATCTGTTGTGATCATGTGCATTTTACACCCAGAAGCAGAAACACACACACACAATTTCCTCTTGTACTCTCCTGTCATAGAGGACCTTCTCTCATCAATAGGAGCACTACATATGCAATACCAAAGGCAAAGGAAGGAAGCCAATCCCTCCCCACCCTTAATGATACTGGCAGATGCGTTCATCCACTTCCACCAGGACATTTCGAGCCCTGCTGCAGCCTTTCATTTTCCTTCTCCCGTGGAAGAAGCACAAGAACCAAAAGCAGCCTGGCAAAAAGGTCTAGGGAAGATAACACTGTATCTCATCGGGAGCAAAAATTTGCTTGTGTATTTCAAAAACAAAGAGTACCAAGGCAAAGCTAATGCCCTACACTACCTGCTGAGGAACAGCAAGTTGCATTAGCTATTCCAGTCCCCTTCTTTGGCTCCATACACATTAAAAGACAGATGTGTTTTACCCGTTCAACTCTAGGCAAGAGGAAATACTCAGACATGATGGGTATGGAGAGGGGAAAGTACAGTACTGGGAGATGTACCACACCGTACATCTAAAGGACTAGGATGCCACTTTAAACAGTAATGGCTTCCCACAAATAATTCTGGGAGCTGTAGTTCGTTCAGGGCTCTGAGAGCTGTTAGGAGAGCCCTATTCCTATCAGAGAACTACAATTCCCAGAGTTCCCTGTGAAGGGGATTGACTGTTAAACCACTCTGGAAATAGGAGTCTTAGCACCCTTAACAAACAGAGGCTCTTCGAATCCTCTTTTTTTTTTAAAAGGGGAGAGCATGACTGTTTAAAATTGTGGCATAGTGCTTTTTTACATGAGTGCTGTGAATGTAGCCACCGAGGAAAACAAAACTGCTGCATGCCCACTTGCTACCACTAGGCGATGCTACAGGCTTACAGGATAAGTCAATAAAGAGTTTTCCAGCTGCACTAGAATTGCCTCTGACTACCAGACACAAGCCTGCAATTATAAGAAGAATGCATTGCCTTACTTCTTACGTAGTTGTGCCCAGCACAAGCTGGCTTTGTCTCAAAATATCTTCCAGAAAAAGCAAGAGGAATGTGGCGCTATGGATACTGCAATAGTTCCTAAAGCAGCTAGCCAGATAACAGGTAATGCTTCTCCACCGGCAGGGGTGGGGCCGGGAGAGAGATCCCCTGAACTTACAAAACTAGCTGACTGGTTGCTGGCATCCAGCTGTCTCACGTTGCAGTGGAGGAGTGTGCCTTTGGGGGTATAAGGAAATACTAGCTGGCTTCTCCCTAAACCTAGTTTTCCAGATATATAAAGTTTGTTGTTTTATGGAGAAACATTCAATGGTGCTTGTTAACACCCACCTGCACTGTAGAGGGTTCAATCTAGAAACAGTTTTACAAACTTCCAATGCTCATCTCAGAATAGCTTTTGGTATCTATTGTTTGGGAGCAAAGCCACCACAACCAATCATTCGACTATTCCAGCTCCACAAGACGCACAACATAATATCGCATCTCGGCTTACTGGCACAATTGCTACAAGTTTATGAAATCTGCGGTGAGCACCATTCTCACCCCATTGTTTTGCCACAGCATTGAAGTGACCAGCTGCTGTAGTGACCAGGGCAAAATGATTTCCCCTTCACACACCACAAGACTTAACAGCCAGCTGTCCCAATGCTCCCTGCACCTCTTGAAGTATTTGCCACATAAGGTAGTTACCAAACTCTATCTATTGGTACAAAATATCCACAAAATATTGTGGATTCACCCAATGTCGCTGGTCATCTCAGCAGTTAATCTGAATATCTTTAGAGATATCAGGCCCTTTAACTTTTCAAAGGGGAGCTTGTGGTCACACCATATTTCACACCTGCTCCATAGAAGTGAACTGTGCGTATTGTAGTGGCAGGGCATAACCCCCATCCAGGAAATCCACCCCCATTTCTGTAGCATGCACCCAGCTATCATCACGAGATGAGCAATCGGTTAGCCAAGCAGCAATGCACTCACTTAGTAAGGCTCCTCCATACAGACGGATAGGTGTCTTACTGTTGACCGACTCTTCCTCAAAGACAGCATCGTAGAGCTGTTCGGGAAAGGCGAGAGCCTACAGGAAAGAAAGAAACTTCAGCGGAGAAAGCTTACGGTGCTTCACCCTGCTTTACTCAGAAAAATTGTCCTCAACTGAAGGGAGAGATGAGCATGCATGGCTAGGGAAAGAATAAATGCATGCAGATGGAATCTGGAGCCCTGGTTAGGAAGAGGAGCAGCACAGCCACCCATTGCAAGTGTAAAGGCCAATGAGGTGTACAACAATAAAGAGGAGAAAGGGAAATGCTCATTTTAGGGTACCAAGTATGACTGGTTTATAGACTAGGATGGATAAATTTGTCAATTTTAGATGCTCATTTCCCCCCATCTTAATTTCAGTTTTCCACCCTTCAGCATTTATTTTTTTTAATGTCCTCATAAAAAAATTGTCTGCATTTCATTGCGCATTTTGCCTAAATGTGCACATTTCTGCAAACAATATCCCTGAACAGAACGTATTTTGTATGTTGTTTTCACTCATGTATCCATTTTTATGCACGCTTTCCCCCAATACATGCATCGAATTCAGAAAACTACAAGTATCAAAGGAAAGCTGTATTTTGGTTTGTATATTATCCCATAAAGTACAACATGTAAAATTGAACGAAATTCCCACCCCAGCTCAACTTGAGATTCCACCTTAGAGCAGGTCACTTACCATGATGGCAACCCCAGAAAACATGACAGCTGTCACAAACTGCCAAACCCTGCAAGAAAGGTCAAATGGGAACATCTAAGCTTTTAACAGTCTAAAGACGACATTCTCCCCCAGTCAGTTTTATATACAAAGTGGCCACTTTTGTTTCTCTAAGGAAAGACATGAGGACAGGAATGGGGGGAAGACCTGTGGCCCTCCAGATGATGTTGGATGGGAATGCCCATCATCCCTGGCCTAGCTGGAGGGGTTTCCCAATCCTGAATTAAGATCATCTCTGTTGACTTAAGCTAGAAACAAAGAGTTTGTGAAAGTAAACGGGGGGGGGGGGGATGACTGGACTTGTCTTAAACAAGGGTTGCTCATGAGAACAGGAGGTGTGAAATATCCTAGGCGCATCGACAAAAACTTCCCAGTCTTTCAAAGACACCTCTGCAACTTTGACCTACACACAATTAGGGTTTCTATAGGCTCTATTCAGACAGGCCTTCTCCATTTGGACAGCTACAAATGTAGGCATGGATCACATCTTGAAGCACCACCCAAACTGTCCCTCTGCTTGCAGGAAGCAGATGGCTTACTTTTCCCCCAGACCCTCAATTTAGTGTCCTTTAAAAGTGCTCACAGATGCCTAAAATCTGCATCAAATATTCTGAGCTAGGACATCACTGCAATTGCAAGAAGTATGTTCTTTCAGAAACTGCTCTCTAGAAGCCCAGAATTTATTGTAAGAGGGCTCTTGCACCCATAAGCAGAACTAGGAAGTTCTATTCCCTCTTTTGAACCCCTTTTCCTTACAGCCATTCTCCCATGTGCCAAAGCATTCATCTTTAAAAGTTACTGTGGCAGCACTGAAAATCCAGTACTGAGATGCACTAAACAGAGCAATATCCTAAGTTTCCAAGTGAACTTTGTGAAGAACTATTCAGTTGGTTACTACCTGGCACACAAAAAACTCAGGTGAGGGACACAGTACTGCTTTGGTGAAACATAAGCATTTGCCTCCCGCATCTTGTACTGGTAGCTGCCTGCTCCTCTTGGAAATTGCACAGGTGGGAAATTTCCTTTAAAATCCATGGTGCAAGGAGATATGTGCCAAATGCAACAACCTAATATACTTCACACCAAGTTGGAAAAATTCTCCACTCAAGTCTCTGCTATTCTTAAAGTCATTAACAACAATGAAGAAACAGCCTACATGCAGAAGTTCAGTGCCAATATTGCAGCCCTTCCTTCAGCTCATTTTGCCCTTGGCTAGTAGTCTGAGCACAGAGATTCTTCCTGCAAACTTACCTGAGCCCTAAGGGTTCCTTCACAGCAAACTTGATTTCATTGCCCAAAACTTGGCTGATCTGAAATTCAAAGAAAAGAGTAAGGTAACTGACTCAGACTCAGCCTGCAAAAACATTGTCTGGATGGGGTAGGGGTGGTATAGAATCCTAGACTTACCGCCCACATATTTTCCTACAGAGAATGAAGTGCAATGTATACTTTGCTCTGCAGATCTCAATTTGCAGAATTAGTCTGCACCCACAGGGTGAAATTATGGCAGCTTAAATATTTTTCTGACATTCTAAACCAAAGATTGGAAGCCTGTGGCTCCCCAGATATTGTTAGACTACAACCACCGTTGTTCCTGACCATTAGCCATGCTGGCTCTGAACACATGGGGGGCAGTTTCTATAGTCGGTCATAGGCCACACACTGTGAGTGACTCAAACCACACATCTGCAACCTCTGAAGACTCCAGAATTGTGCATAGCATTGGTAACACAGCACAGACTACAAGCTCTCCTTAGGATCTGAACTGTCACTAAGCAATAGCATAGGCAAAGCCACTATAAAGTAAAGGGGCAGACCATTTCAACTCTAGAAAGTCTAGGTTTCAGCAGGGAACAAACATCCATACCTTCTGTTTGAAGCAGATGAAGCTGCCTTCTAATCAGGCCATCAGTCAATTTAGCTGCTTGACTTCACAACGCTCTGGTTAGGGCGTTTTTAATCTAAAACATCCAATTGGTGAAGGCTGGTCTATGCTAACTGGCAATGGCCCTCCAGGAATCTTTCCCAGCCCTACCTAGAGATGATGTTTGCATGTAATACATGTGTTCGGCCACTGCGTGTTGGGGCAGGCTTGGGTTGTGCCAGTTAAGGACCTGAGAGCCAGAACATAAAAGGCATCTGGTTGGCCACTGTGATAAGAGAATGCTAGAATAGATAGACCTCTGGCCTGATGCAGCAGAGTTCCACTTTGTCCTTCAGATGAACCATATAAAAAGGGCAGAAAGCTGTAGACAACCAAAGAAAGTGAGGAGGAGAATTGGATTCTTTACTAATACAGTACATCGCTTTGGTTCCAAAAGAGAGACAGTCAGAGGCTAACAAATAAAATTTTGAATCCAGCAGTAGAGAGAAACTGAAACTGGAAAGGTGAGGTTCAGCACCTTCTCAAGAGTCCCATTCAGTCCTTACTAGATGCAAAAGTAAAGAACAGAAGCCCTTCTTTGATTATTATTTTTTGTAAGTAAAAGGAACTGAACAGTGAAGTTAAAGGTGATGTATTTTTTACCCTGTTGTAGAGATGCTCCATCCTGCAAAGTGAAGGGTCAGAAGGATGATGGGAATTGTAGTCCAGCAACATCTGGGAAGGCCAAAAGTCAGCCACCCCAATACTAAAGAATGGATCACAGCAGCAAAGTCTCTAGATACTCAACAAGAATTACAAGTCACAGAAAGAAAGGGGCCGTTTTAGAAGGAAATGAGTACAAAGGGAATTTAAACAGGCTTTGGTTGCTTCCTGCCCATCTTCAGCTTCTCATTGCCAGCTGGGGAGAAAAATACAGTTTGCACATGCAATTCTTTGTTATTTCCTGCATTCAGTAAGTGACACAAAGGGAAATATGAAAACTGGCAAGTTGTGGGCACAGCAGAGAGAGAAAAACTTAGCATCGCTTCCTCTGGTTCATCTCCTGAGACTTCAAGGAGGGGCCAAGATGACACAGCTGATTTGTGGTGGTGAGGTGGGCTGAGAGAAGGATTGATACTTCTAAAGTATAATGAGGAAAACGTGGGTTTTCTCCAGGCCTGGTCTTTGACATGGTGCTGAGTTTCCTCTTCAAACTGATGCATGCAAATACTTCTGATGAGATGGATTCAGACCAAGTTGATTGTCAATTTCAATAAGTCTTACAACTCTCATGTTTGTGAGGAGGAGACTTGTAGTCTGGAGACACATTTAGCTTAGTGCATGACTGTGTAGCAAGGCTGACTCTGGTAGACTTCCCCAGAACAAGAGCAAGTTCAAAATGGCCATGTCTAGGGTTTTGCCAAATTTAATACAGCTCTAACTCCAGGCTCTAGGGAAATAAAACAACCCTTTTTGTCTAAAGCTACTTTTAGAGCTGCAAGTTCTGAGTGTTAATAGTTAGGGTCCTTGTTTTCTTTTAAAGCTCGCAGTCCTCAAAGATGTTTTGAAAGCATGATGGGGGGGGGGAGAGAGAGAGAGAGAATGGCAAGAAAACATGAAAATCCAAAAAGTGCTAAATTATTTCTCCAGAAGCTGCCATGACATCTACGTCCATTTATGATGAATTTTACACACACACACACATACACACTGCTTCCAGGACAACTTGTCTTCTTAAACATATTTATTAAGAGGCAGAACCAATTTTAGAATAGGTTACTGCGTTATCTACCATCTGTACGACTAAAAGGTAACAGCTTAAAAAGTCACAGAATAGCTGTCATTATAAATAAGTTGCTTAGCAACCACTAGGATTCAGTGACAAAAAGGTCAATCCATTAATAAAAAAAAGCCGTGTGTAAAAAGCAGAGTGTGCACAGAGCAATGGGCATGAGTCACGTGGACGCACGAGCCCTCAAATCCCCTGCCTTACCAAAGTCACCAGAGAGCTCTCCTGACATGGCAAAGTTGACTAAAAGCTGCAGCAGAAGCAGAGAACTATATGCTGCTGTGAATAGAGAAGAGAGAGATCCCAGGCAGAACCATATGATGGAGATTCCATACACTTCTATCTCCGATCCTCTGGCACCACTGATACAAAGCATACTAACAGAGAGGAGCAAACGCCTTCCTACAGTTGTACAAAACCCCAGAGCTGAGTCTGCATTGTTATCCTTTCCCTTAAACAATCAGTATTTTTGAGTTTTCCCCTAAGAGTTATGGCTCTACTTATTTTTGTAAACAAGCAAAGTTAAAAAGAAGAAGAGACCTAGCAAGAGTGCCTCAGAACTTTCCCTTTGGGGCCCTGTTAAAGCAGATTTGTTCAGTGATTAATCAACACCAGCAACTTCTTGCTGAGTTCTAGGCTGTTACGGTTTCCTTCTATTTTTTTCCTCATTTGTTTCTTTTACAGCTTTCTTTCAAGGTCCTAACAGCCTTAGGATAAGCGCTTAAAAGATAAATAAAATTCTAGTACGAACTCTCTGCACCAGAAGTCATTAGCAAACAGGACACCCACACTCCCGTCAATTTGGAAGACGTAATACCTGCATTTTTTGTGCACATACCTTTCCAGTTTTGTTTCTTCTCTAGCCTGCTTAAATTACCAAGAAGTTACACCTGCTACTTCAGGTGATGTGTTTGGATCCTATTCATAACCTAAGAGTAGTCAACGTGCTAGATCTTTCTAGGCTACAACTTCCAACCACCCACCAGATGGTTGACCAAAGAGATGTGCGCCTGGAGGAATTTAGCCTTGCCAAAGGATTGTGAGTGTGTGTGTGTGTGTGTGTGTGTCCTGGATAAAGAGAAAGAATTCAAACCAGGGATATAAGCCTAGAAGAGTTTGAAGAAGAAGAGTTTGGATTTGATATCCCACCTTTCACTCCCTTTAAGGAGTCTCAAAGCGGCTAACATTCTCCTTTCCCTTCCTCCCCCACAACAAACACTCTGTGAGGTGAGTGGGGCTGAGAGACTTCAAAGAAGTGTGACTAGCCCAAGGTCACCCAGCAGCTTGCATGTGGAGGAGCGGAGACGCGAACCCAGTTCCCCAGATTATGAGACTACCATTCTTAACCACTACACCACACTGGCTCTCCTACACCAGGGGTAGGCAACCTAAGGCCCGGGGGCCGGATGTGGCCCAATCGCCTTCTCAGTCTGGCCCACGGAGGTCTGGGAATCAGCAGTTTTTTATATTAGTAGAATGTGTGCTTTTATTTAAAATGCATCTCTGTGGGGCATAGGAATTCATTCATTTTTTTTCTTCAAAATATAGTCCGGCCCACCACATGGTCTGAGGGATGGTGGACCGGCCCACAGTTGAAAAAGGTTGCTGACCCCTGGCCTACACCATAAAAAGGAAGGGAGGGAAGCAAACCAGCACTAACGTCTTGTTAATTTCACCACAGTCATCAAGTGGAAATCCCACCCCCTCCGGCTGCCTTTGGTTTGTGCAATGTTTCAGGAGGTTTCAGTTAGATGTTTTCCTTTAAGTGCGAATTGAACCGAATTTCTCCTGCATCCCTAGTTCTAGCAGGGGATAGATTTAAAAACACCACCCCCATTATTCCTGGGTCATCAGACAACGAGAGCCCCTACCAGCTATCACTACCTGCTACATATTCTGAAGTTGTTTTTGCATTCCTAAATATTGCGCCCAGGAGCAGAAACTGTAGCCAAATCTACACTATACATCTTTAGATTGGTTTTATATAAATTTTAAGTTATCACAGATTCCCTGCAAAGAATTGTAATTTGTTGAGGCTGCTGAGAGCCCTCAGCTCAAGATCTCCAGCCTCCCACACAGAACCGCAGCACCTAGGGGAAAGTTAAAGAATATTACACCAGTTCAAGTCTGTATTGCAGTTATGGCTTGCGCACAAAGTGGTAAAGAACAAAAAAACCGTCTCCCAACACACAAAAGAGCTCCGATAGCTCAAGAGGATATATTAAGCTCCTAACTTGAGTCCATGACAAATTACACACTTTTTGTAGAACGGCTTTTGGACAGTCTGCATTTTGAAGCACAGCTTTGATCTGGGATATGTGGAAAATGCCCAGAGAGAAAGATTGGTTTTGCAGATGCAGGAAAAAGAAGAAGTGATGATGTATGGCTGCAGCACTGAAGGAAAAGAACCTAAGAAGATCCCTGATGGATCTGGCCAAAGGCCCACCTAAACCCTGCATTCTTTTCTTACAGTGACCAACCACATACTTGTAGAATGAGGACTGTGTATGCAGAAGGTATATAGGAATCAAACTTCTCTGTTCATGGGGGGAATAGAAACACTTTACAGAGAATATTCCTACATCTACAAAGACATGTCTCTAATGAGGTGAGAACTGCAGCTTTAACTAGCCACCCCCATAGGCCTTGTAATTCAACCCACGGCTGTGAATCTATCATCTCCTGCACTAGATTTTGCAATTAAATGAGATACACAAGAGCTCTGTTTGTCGGGTACAACACACAACTGTTGTACAATTGATTAGAAAGCAGGTTGAACAAGATAATAATTGTAGGGCAAAGTGAACAAAAGTCTGGAATATCAAATTCCTTCATCTCTCCTCTGCTTGGCTTCCTATATAGCCTTATCACTGCTGATACTCTTGAGGAGCTGCAATTATTTCTTAGCTTAAACAAAAGGTCTTCCCTCCTTTGCTACTAACTTTAGCATGAACTATTTAGTCATTCCATGGAGCAATAACCTGCCTTAGGGCTGAGAAGGATCCTAAAGACCTCCAACTTAATTGTGGGTGATAGTTTGTTAAAGGTCTTCCCATTGCTGGGCAGTAACCAGAATTGCAGCCCTTTGCTGAATGCCAACCTCCCCAACCTTCAGATAACCAGAGCGGTGTGAAAACTGAAATGTTTGTTACCTTTGACCTATGAACTTCTCCATCATCATCCTCCCCTCCAACCCCTAGGATCTTGCGTGTCTTCAGGCGGCTCACAAGGTCTGTCTGGCTGTGCTTCTTCATCAGAGGGGGAGGTTGCTTGGTTGCCATGGTGACTCACAGGTAGTCGCTGGCTTGGGCAGAAGCTGAAATGAGAAAGACTAGAGGTTAGAGAAAAGCAGGGTCAAATCCAGCCACAAATTCAAGGAGGAGATGCATTTGGTTTTAATGCAAAAACGATTTGACGCAATGATGTATTGCATCCCAAAACAACTGTGTTCTTTGGCCATGGAAGAATTGGCATTCATTCAGTCCTATGCTTACAAAATTTAGAGATCCTCCTCAATTTATCTTGTGTATGTCAAGGATGAACCTGTGGGTTTAGATGCTTAGCCAGTTGGATAGGTGCATTCTTACTTACAAAACACACAGTAACTAAACGCTTGTTCCACTGCTAACTTCACCTTCTTTCAAGGAGCCCACAACATCAAATGGGGCTCTGCCCCAGGTTTACCCTATAAACACTCTTGTAAGTCAGGCTAGACAGAGAGAGGTTGGCTGGCCAAGGTCAACCAGTGAGATACATGATAAAGTAGGAATTGAAACCAAGGTTCCCCCCACCCCAGTCCTCGCCTACCTCTCTGACTAGTTCACCACACTGATCACCCTGCTGAGAAAACTGGGTAGCAGAGCAGAAGCAGCCCTGAAACCTACCCAGTTCTTCTCCTTGTGGGTTGATATTTTTGAGAGTTTGCAATTTCTTCCAGTTCCGAAGCCAAACACGACTGGAATGGAAATTCACTGAAGGCAGCTGCAGAATAAACTTTCTTCTCACAGCATCTCCCAGATAAACTTCTGCTCTATGTGCTTTTATCTCATTAATTATAGCGGGTGGGAGAGCTTTGTTATCAGCCATGAGTCTGCCTTTGCTTCGGCTGGCAGAAGAGTGGGGAGGCTTGGGAATTCAAGGGGGGCGGTTATACTAGGATAGCCATTTCTGGTTCTATTAAAAAGGCAAGAATGTGATTTCATTTAGTCATGCTAGTGTGTGCTCATATGGCCAAGGCAGAGAAAGAGATAGCACAAGTTAGGAGGAGGAGTTGCAGTGATGGTGGTAGCAGGAGTCCATTTGCAAGACACCTACAAGATACAGTGGTGGTGCAAGAAGAAGAAAAATAGGGAAGAACACAGCACACTTTAGGGAAGGGGAAACTTTGCCCTATATGCTAGATTCCTGGAAGAGAAACAGCAACATATGTTTCACGTTAGTGCTCTCGTCCAAAAATCATATTTTCTCAGAATATGTCCTATTGATTTTTATGGAGTTGGCCTTCAAGTAAATATGCTCAACATGCAATGCTTCTTCTGAAATGTCACATTTTTGATTCAGTTATAATCTGTATGCTGAAAGTGCTTCTCTTCCTTGTAACCCCAGGGGTCCACACAATGTGGTCAGGCACAGGTACTTGAGGATGCAGGAGCATGCAGGAGTTCTTACCGCCTATGGCAAGAGGGTACTAAAAGCCACATCAAACCAGCCAGCCTCATTTCAGACATTTTTCCCCCTCCCATGGTTCTCCACACATAGTCTCAAACATTAAGAAACCCTTCCTGGGCAGGCAGGGAGGGAGGCTATCAGTGCTGGGATCAAGTTAGAAGTGGACTTCATTGCTCTGGAACATCTACAAATGTGTGCATCTCTAGCAAAATAAACCAGCTGTTCTAGGTTAAATCACATGTCCAATTCCTGCACACCTTAAAAGCAGAACATCCCATCCACTTCCTATTAAAATAGTTCTAGAGCAGGGAAGGGGTAGCCCTCCAGATGTTGTGGGACTATAGCTCCCATCATCCCTTACCTCTGTCCATGCTGCCCAGGACTGATGGGAGCTGGAGCCCAAAAACATCAAGAGCCACAAAGTCCCCAGCCCTGCTCTAGAGTTCATTGCCTTCTGTTTTTTTCTTTTAAATTGTACTGTCAAGCATTGTTGTTGTTGTTGTTGTTTAAAGTGTGTTGCTGGTTTCTTTTTGCAGTGTTTAACACAAGGCTGACTCCCCTTGGGCATTTTGAAATTTGATGTAGTGCAGTAAACTAGGCCAACAAGAGATCTAGCCAATGGGATGGAAAGACGATCAATCTGCCCAATACATATACAGTTCCCTTTTCTAAAGATAGCTCACGCGATCTCAAAACACACTTGACATACTAAATAAGAGCAGAAGTGCTGGTATTTGGTCTACACAAATTGTATTCTAGATAGCTATTTTATCGATTTTTGTTAAGTGAAAAGAGAGAGCGGAAGTAAGTGCATAAGTATAATGAACCTGATCCAAGTATCAAAGCAAAGCCAAAATGCTAACATGCTCTAAAGCAGGAATAGAGAACCGGTAGGCCTCCAGATGTTGGGGCTTTGATTCCCATCAATCCAACCCAGCATGGCCATTGTTTTAGTTAAATACGTTGTTTAAATTGTTATTAAGGAAATGATTATTTTTCTCCTTCCAATAAAGTATAGCAGAAAAGTTGTCCAAATATAAACAGTTAACTTATTAAAGCTCAGAATAATTTCATAATTATCTGTCTATGTATTTCTAATAGTATAACCAAATCAGTAATTTTTGATATAACTATAAAAACTACTCTGAAAATTTATTATTCCAAAAATGAAACCTTCATCTGATTGTAAATATTATGATTATACCAGCAAGAATGAGGCTTTCTGTAAAAAAGAAAGAAAGATTTAAATCAAGTCTTACTGACTAGTGATTTAAATCAAGTCTTACTGACTAGTGATTTAAATCAAGTCTTACTGACTAGTGATTTAAATCAAGTCTTACTGACTAGTGATTTAAATTGATTTGATTTAAATCAAATCCACCCTGATCCTATACCTAACTAAGGGCCTTGCTTGCTTTTTCATCTCAGCAGGAGAGACACACCAATATGTCTCCCCCACCAAGGGAAGGGGAGCAAGAGGAAGGAAGGAAGTAGGAAGTGAGGTCAGCAACTCTCAGAGCATCAGTCCAGCACCTGATGTAAGGTCAGCACAGATTAGGTCAGAAAGTAGTGTCTAAGAAAGTTGGATGTTCCTCTCCCTGTGCTCTCTTACCCATGCAGACACTACAATGCATGCCGAGATGCATACCAACATTTCCAGCACAACCTTCCTCTAACATACCTAGAAGTATCGTGGCAATGCTCCAAGAATTGGCTCATTTCCTGCTGTGAAAAGCAAAAACTTTTATAAAATAGAACAATACAGACTATGAGCAAAAAGCTGTTGGGCTTGTTTCACACCAACATATACAAAAGGCAAAGTTGAAAGTCTAAATTTTTAAACTTTCAGCTCAGAATTATTATTGTATTTATTTATATGCTGCCTTTTTTAAAAAACTGGGGTTCAAGGTGGCTCACAGATCAAACAGGAAAAAAGTTAAAACATAGAAAAGATAGTCATTAAAAAGCAATTTAGCACTAACAGAATTAAAACAATATTTAAAGGATCTATTAAAAATACAGACAACAGCAGCAACAAACATCACAGCACTTGCCCTTTCCAGTCAGTTCCTAAAGGCCTGATGGAATAAAGAGCTCTCCACCTGTTGGTAGAAGGACAACAAGAAGTGTGGGATGGAAGGAAGGAAGGAAGGAAGGAAGGAAGGAAAGTTTTGGAGGAATTGATTAAAGTTGTTGTTGAATGTTAAAGGAAGCACAGGTGTCTCTAGGAGCAGAGTTATAACCAGTGCTTTTTTTCTTTAAAGAAATGTTTAGGGGTACTCTCATTTTGACTCAGGAAAATCACCATTTTATAGTTCAAATTGGGAAAAATAAATACAGTAAATGGACAAAAGTACAAATATTCACAAAATGTTTAGGGGTTTGCGTACCCCCAGAAAAAAGCACTAGACATAACTACTTCACCATCTTTCCCCCATCAAAGCATGAGACACATACTAAGAGTCATATAGGATCAGACCAAAGGTTATCTAGTTCAACATCCTGTTATCAAAGTGGCCATCCAGGTGAAGCCCACATGAAGCACAAGAGACCAATAGCATTCCCCCCCAAATACAACCAAGTTAGCAAACTCCTTGATTTAGCGCACACACAAAAACCTGTACCACAATTGAGTTCTAGTTGGCGACCCAACAAAACAGCACTAACAAATATTGTCATCATACTTATACGAGGTCCAGGTGTTGCTTGCACTGCAGAGGCATGCTAAACAAAGCTCAGTCTAGCAACTTCCTTGGTGGTTGAGTACATGGCCTCTGGAGGCCATGAGCAGATATTCTGAGTCTTGCTTTAACATCCATTTATGAACCAAACACACCCTGAGAAAAACTCTGGGAAGGTCTGCTTCACAACTTCAACTGCTGCTCCAGAGGAGTGATGATTCCATATCCTGGATCGTTACACTTTCGAGTTTCCATATTTATATTCAACAAGTTCAAATTGCTTGGAGTGCGGCATGAGACGTTTTTGTATGGGACTACTGACTCAATCACTAGCACTGATTAATGAGCATTAAATTTATGTTCAAGGTGCCCAACTCTTGATCTCTAAACAAGGAATGCTGAATGATATATTTTCCTCACAGGTCAATACTTTTTTCCATTTGAATGCATCATTGATTACACTAGATGAAGGCATTTTGTTAGACTGTCCAGAGTGTGTGCCCAGAATGTGTATCCAAAAGGTTGTGCTTTTTGTTTGTTTGTTTGTTTCACCTTACTCCCACTGAAATACGCATTTTGCTGCAGGACCCGATTCTGCCATTCCTCTCCAATACGCCAGATTATAGGGAATTTTTCTAAAGTCGCTGGAGCAGAACAACAGCTGAGAACCGTCAGGCCCCATCAACGCAGGCATTCGGTAAAGCCGTGAAGCCTCATTTGTTTTCATGGCTTGCTGTTAGAATGATTTTGCCTGAAGCTGGTCTTACTTGGATAATTTTTGCAGCTAGGTGGTGTGTACTTCTGGTTTTTTATTAATTTCATTGGAGATTGTAACAGTAATTGCATTGTGTTACACAATGTGAACCCCCTTGGGAGGATTTCTTACCTTTAAGAGAATTTCTTGCCCTTCAGAGGTGGCCCCAAAAAATCTATTTTAAATACAGTGGTACCTCTGGTTATGTACTTAATTCGTTCCAGAGGTCCATTCTTAACCTGAAACTGTTCTTAACCTGAAGCACCACTTTAGCTAATGGGGCCTCCTGCTGCTGCCACACCACCGGAGCACGATTTCTGTTCTCATTCTGAAGCAAAGTTCTTAACCCGAGCTAATATTTCTGGGTTAGCGGAGTCTGTAACCTGAAGCGTATGTAACCTGAAGTGTATGTAACCCAAGGTACCACTGTAAAGGGAATTTATGAGAAGTGGCCAAAATAGCAAATGCCCCAAAATAGTCAAATAGCACATTGCTTAGGCACTGCTGCTTCCCATGCTGACCATGTCAGTGAAACCTACAGAGACACTGACCCTTCACCAGACCTTGGGAAGCTGGGCTAAGCAGGAATGGGGAGGAGACAGAGTGCATTGTATAGCACAACTGCACAGAGACATGAGAAGGCAAGGCATGGCTGTGGCTTCCTTGCCATTGTTAAGAATCCAGCTTTAGTTGTGTGGTCTGCAAACTCTGATTGGGAATCACAGGCTTCTTCATTTGTAATCTAACTCTCTCCTGGATAACCCCCCCCCCCGACAATTTACTCTGTTAATATTTCATTTTATTTAGATAGCAGTTCCCCCCCCCCATATTAATTGTTACCAGCCATTCACAGAGTTTCAATTCCTTCTCTTTGTTTTATGCAAAGGCAAGCACGGGGTCAAAACAAAGATATGCAGCCCCCCACAATCTTGTGGAAGATCCAGACTCCATGGAAATTAAAGGTTGGAGGAATAAAGTACCATGTGGTGGCTGCTCTGGATAAACATGTTATTTCCACAAACATGCCCTTCAGGCAAACTTTGAACCATCTAGCAAAATCATATGCCCTCTGAGCAAGTCTGAAGAAACCCATGACATTTACGAAGTCTCACACATTTCTACTCGACACGGAAAGAAGAAGCCGACTAATGTATTTAGGTGGAGCAAAGCGTTTTTTTGTCTTCCCACCCCCCTACACTTTCATGGGACATTTGCAATCATCCTAGGATGAAATATCATGCCAACTGCCCTATGAGACCCAAATCTCAATATTAGCTCCGTATACACCAAAGATTCTGACTCATGATTGAACCATGAGATACGTAAAACAGATTTCTTGAGAGTCCCAACAGGAAAACGTCAATAACAGCTGCAGAGAATAGCTGGATAATTTGCTTAGCCAAATATAGAGAAATTTAACATGGTGTCATCTTCATGTTACAGAAGCGTTAGGAACAGGCTGTATTATGTTGCCACAGAATTAAAAGCAACCCTCTTAGAATCGTACTTGTGTAAAGCCGCCTTGAGTCTGGCGAAATGGCAGGATATAAATAATATCATCACCATCATCATGACTGATGGCCAGGAGACCCAAAGCCACTACCTGTTCCCAGTTGTATTTCTGACAATCCAGGACCCTGGGAAATCATCTCGAATGTAGCAACCCCCATTATAGCAAGTCTGACCAAGCCTAGCCCAGCAGTCAAGAGTGGTGGACAATGTACTACCTTTAGAAACTGTTCCTCTTCAGAATAAGTGTTCCTTTTGCACCTTATCATGAGAGCAAGCCCTTAACTTGGGACCATTTTACCTGTGAGATTGTCTGTGGAACGCCCTCCCTTCAGATGTCAAGAAAATAAACAGCTATCTGACTTTTAGAAGACATATGAAGACAGCTTTGTTTAGGGAAATTTTTAAGGATGGATGTTTCTAGGTATGTTGTAAACTACCCAGAGTGGCTGGGGAAACCCAGTCTGATGGGCGGGGTATAAATAATAAAATTATGATTATTACTATTACTCCATATATGCACACTCAACTGTTTTGATCTGCTGAACTGGCACTGTTACAGGTGCCCCATAATTCCCATTCCACATCAAATCTTTTAGTGTGACAGCACTTAACACTTTGGAACTCCCTGCCTATTGGCATCAGGCAGGCACCACCACTATATTCTTTCCAGACCTTGTTAAAACAAGGTTTTGAGACAAGCCGACCCAGGCATGTAAAATGTTGATGCATGTTTTGGTTTATTGCTGATTTTAAAAAAATGTTTTATATCATTGTTTTTAACTGTTTTTGCTGTTTATTTTATTCTCTTTGTAACCCGTTTTGAGGGTTGTGTGGTGGTTGCTTTTTTGAACAATCAAGCAGTGTATACATTTTGTAAAATACAGTAAAAAGAAAAAATAGAGAGAGAGAGACACCTCAGCACCTCAGCTTAAAAAACTAATCACTTTGGAGCCCCCAAGATTAGCTTCCAAACAGAAATACAGCCAATTGGCAGGCCACAAATCTTGGCTTGCCTGAGCACCCCTCCACTTGTTGTGGGATTTTGACTCTCATTTAAATCCTCTGGCATACTGAGATCACTTGTGTGAACGTAGGGATTGGTTTCACCCCTGGCTGAAAGAAATTCAAATATTCCAAGAATCTATCACATAAAATAAAAGACTGACAAACTCAGACAAGTACCCAGCCACAGTAGTACCTCAGGTTACATACGCTTCAGGTTACAGACTCCGCTAACCCAGAAATACCTTGGGTAATATTTGCTTTGCTTTGCTTTGCTTTGCTTTGCTTTGCTTTGCTTTGCTTTGCTTTGCTTTGCTTTGCTTTGCTTCAGGATGAGAACAGAAATTGTGCGGCGGTAGCAGCGCGGCGGCAGCAGCAGGAGGCCCCATTAGCTAAAGTGGTGCTTCAGGCTAAGAACAGTTTCAGGTTAAGAACAGACCTCCGGAATGAATTAAGTGCTTAACCCGAGGTACCACTGTATTCCTTTACTTTGGGCCAAACTCTGGAGACTCCAAAACTTTGATATCTTTCTCACTTCTGAGTGAGTCCAAGCAGGGCATTTGGTGAGACAGCCCCTTCCCCCTCCCGCTCCTAAGCTCTCCAGCCCAGTGAAAGTTCTCCATGGACTATGAGAAATGCAGGGGAGGGGTTTTCTTCTGCTGCTCCTCAAAGGCTGTTGTCAGGAAGAGGTCCTGTGTCCACAGCTTGAAATCTTCAGCCTGCAGCTATCAAAAGAGATGGTTTCTGCTTACTGAATTCCACCCGGCCTCTCCTGCAAAGCAGGGAAGGGGTGGGGTGCTTTTATTTCTGGCCTGAGAGATGCAGCCGCTTGCTATGAATTTTTCAAGTTAAGCAAATGAACCATAAACTGCCTGCCTAGGCCCTTTAGGGCAATGTTAAGCTTTAGGATCCACATTTTGCTTTCAGTCTAATTTTTTCAAAAGGCACATTAAAACACAGTTTCAATATTTCATATACCCCAATTAAACTGTTCAAATGTTTTGGCAAAACTATTAATTAAGAAGCCAATTTTGAAATGTATTTCCATTTTTGTTTCAGAAAACAAATCTGTACTGCAGTCCTTTGATTCTGCTATTTCAAATACAAAGAGTTTCCAAGGCTATTCTATTTACCAAAGCTTCTATTGATCAGTGTTCATTTTCATTATGCACTGCTGTTTTATGTTAGTACTATTAGTTTTAGGATGCTTTCACCTTTGTGATTTTTACTGTTAGTTGAAATCTGCCTTGGAGTCTTTAGACTAGAAAAGATAAATAAAACAGACAATGCTAAAGCTACTAGTTCCATCTTTTCTCTAGTTTCGGGTTTTATTTTTGTGGTGGGGAGTGGCAGAGAAGAAAGGACAAGAGGCTTCTGATCTCATGACCACCTCCCTTCATCATTTGTTCTGCTGAAAACTATTGCTAATTCAAAAATGATTTGCCACAATGTTGCCATGAGACTTCCACAATGGATATAAGAGGAATAAAAAAATTAAGAGCCATGAAAATACAAATACTTAAAAGGCAAAGCTTTTTTATTTTGCAGTGACTATTTGCCTGCAAAAAGCTGCAGAGTTCAGCATCAACACAGCCATTCTCTCAAGGTACAGTGGTACCTCGGGTTACATACGTTTCAGGTTACATACGCTTCATGTTACAGACTCCGCTGACCCAGAAATAGTACCTCAGGTTAAGAACTTTGCTACAGGATGAGAACAGAAATCGTGCTGCAGCGGTGCTGCAGCAGCAGGAGGCCCCATTAGCTAAAGTGGTGCTTCAGGTTAAGAACAGTTTCAGGTTAAGTACAGACCTCCGGAACGAATTAAGTACTTAACCCGAGGTACCACTGTACTGTGAATTCAGCAGCTTTACAGTCACACAAGCACAGGGTAAAAAAAGGTTTGTGCATTCCAAACTATGCAGTGGTTATACCAGAACATCTACTTAAAATATTCCAAATCATTGATTGGCTTCTTACCTGGACCCTTCGTGCTTTGCAAACATGAAGGTTCCAGGTAAGATGCCTGTTACTTCCAGTTTTGTTCGGCTGCTGCTTTAGTTGTTTTTTAAAAAGAGTAAGTTAGCGAGTGGTAGATTTCTGCTGGAGAACTGAAGACAGAAGACAGACAATTTTTCTTTTCCTCCAGCCCTTTTGAATATTTCAGCTGTATAGTAATATGACGGCTGATGGGCTTGAATTGTAAATTTTATTATGCTTTTGATGGCTTGATATAATTGTAAATGCTTTGACCTATCCTATGGATCTATAGATATGGAATGTTTGTGTTGGAGCAGGGAAGGGCACCTTGTACTTTCAAAGTTTCTTGGAAGCATAAAAAACGTCAACTGGGAATATGGGGCAGCTCAGTTACAGTGGTACCTCAGGTAAAGAACTTAATTCGTTCTGGAGGTCTGTTCTTAACCTGAAACTGTTCTTAACCTGAGGTACCACTTTAGCTAATGGGGCCTACCGCTGCTGCTGCGCCCCAGTGCGCGATTTCTATTCTCATCCTGAAGCAAAGTTCTTAACCCGAGGTACTAATTCTGGGTTAACGGAGTCTGTACACTGAAGCGTCTGTAACCCGAGGTACCACTGTACACCGAAAGCCTCTGGGGGCTGTATGGGGCCTCTGAGCCACAAATTGCTTACATGTGGTTTACATGAAGATTGCGAAGTTGATGAAACTGACCTACACTTCTGTTTTGTGCTGGAAGTCTAGAGCAGGGTTTCCCAAACTTGGGTCTTACATCTGTTTTTTTTTAGACTACAACTCCCATCATCCCTAAGCTAGCAGGACCAGTGGTCAGGGATGGTGGAACTTGTAGTGCAAGAACACATAGAGACTCAAGTTTGGGAAACCCTGCTCTAGAGGGAGCTTTACTGCAGAGGTGACAAATGTCACACTACGTCAGAGTGTGTGTGGGCACTGGCACTGCTGCTATATTTCATTTTCAGCTGCTGCTAATCCATTGTTTCTAGTTTCTTCTTTTCAGATTCTCTTCAGCAGAGATAAACTCCAAGCCCTACAACTTCTAAACAGTTATGACTACTGTTACCAGAAGCAAAATCTGGGTCAGGGGCCATATATTTGACAGCTGCTGGTTCCCTATCCAGTTAACGTCTAATAAAATTTATATTTATTAAATTCATACATTATACACAACATTGATATACACCTTTTTTTTTATTTTTATGTGTGATACGTTATGCACCCCTTATGATTCATTGCCACCATGGGAGATAGAGAGGCATACTTGACGGTTGGCTTCCCTTCAGACCCACAGCCTGGTCTCAGGATGGGAGATCCTTTGAGTTCCAATTAATGTTTTAGTTTGAGAGCTCCCATGAGAATCATTTTTGATCAGACATTAACAACACAGTCATGCTCCCCCCCCCCAAGTTAAAGGAAGCAAACTGCCACACCTTCCTTTTATTCTTTGATGACATGGTATTATGAAAGGGGATTGTTTTTTTATTTTAGTTTAAGCTATTATTTTCTAAGTCAACACCAATACAGGGCCCCCATAAAAAAAAATGCAACTCACAGAAATTCAGCCAGGGACAAGTTATTCAGAAAAGATTAGCGTCAGATTAAGTCCACTGCAAAGACAGAATAGAGAGTGTTGTATAATGTGGGGGACTGACATTACTTGTCCTGCAGTTTCATTCCCCCACATATTATGGGAAACTGAAGATTACTCTGTATTCATCTCTTTCACTGAGACTTCTGGTGTTTTGATGGTCACAGGAAGTGGAGCCAAACCCAGATGGAAAGATAATAAGAATGGAATGAGAATTCAGCCTTTTGAAGTAATTGCACCTAGTATTTCAATTGCTCCAGTGAGCCCTGCTGATGCAGATTAACCTCACGCATGCCCAGTGTGGATCTGCAATGTAAACTTGGCACATCTAGCCTGAACCATAATAATGGCATCCCTGGAAATGAAAAGAATCCCACAGAAAGCTGACAGGAGCACCTCATTCCACCCCCACCCCACAAAAAAGGTACCCCAGCAGAGATTGACAGTGGGGATGAATGAAACATTCACACACACACCCAACTCTTGGGGCAGGGGAAGGTGTGTGTGTTAAAGAAATTTAATGAAATCCCTCCTTCAAGTTGCTGTTTGCTTCCCATACATATATGCGTCTTATTCCATTTTTATCTTTTTTAAAAAAAGAACAATACTTCTTCCTGATCCCAGGGACCATGCAAGCAGTGATGAAGATGTTATCAGGCAACCTGATCTGGTTACATGAGTTTCCCAAAAGCTAAGTTAGTACATTTCCTGCCCTAATGTAATGGGTCAAAGGCTTCTGTCCATTTCACAGTCCACTCAAAACAACAAAACATTGAAGCATTTCATGTGCAGGAAGTGGGGGAGAATGAGTTTCTTTTAATTCCCTCCCTGCTCTTCCATTCAAGCGCAGTCTTACCTGCCAGCATTATAGGCCTGCTCTTCTAATATGCAAAACAGTTCTCTCATTCTAGGTTTTTTTGAGTATTTATTTATATGATTTTTTACCTGGCCTTTGTCCCAGGGTGGGCTATAACAAAACAGTTTAGTTATAAAAAAGATAAAATCATCACACTTATAAAATAAATTAAAAACCACTTCCAGATGGAACAAAACAGCATAAATGCAGAAAAAGGTGGGTCCAAGGCTAGTGTAAAGAGCTGGATCTTCAGTATATAGCAAAAGCTGTACAATGAATAAGCTAAATGCACCGGGGGGGGCGGAGCTCCACTATTTAAGGGCTAGCATTGGGTGGCAGGGGGCTGAAGCATTTTAAGTTATGTGGGTTCTCAAGCTGTGGTGTAAGCTCAGTTTCTTCACAATTTTGTCTGACCATCAAGTCAAACACTGGGCTACTACCCCACCAAGCACATGTTTCAGGCAGATGGCCCATTTCCTTTTTTTAAATAAATGGTATAACCTGTAATTTTTAACACTATGTTTAGCTTTCCCAAATGGAAGGATTTTAAGTGTATATGCAAAAATAAATAAATAAAATATATTACTGACAGTAGTCTTAGGACAGTCGATCCCAATGTGCAACACATGAGACATGAAAGTTTGTTGTTGTTGTTGTTTAGTTGTTTAGTCGTGTCCGACTCTTTGTAACCCCATGGAACAGAGCACGCCAGGCGCTCCTGTCTTCCACTGCCTCCCACAGTTTGGTCAAACTCATGCTGGTAGCTTCGAGAACACTATCCAACCATCTCGTCGTCTGTCGTCCCCTTCTCCTTGTGCCCTCAATCTTTCCCAACATCAGGATCTTTTCCAGGGAGTCTTCTCTTCTCATGAGGTGGCCAAAGTATTGGAGCCTCAGCTTGACGATCTGTCCTTCCAGTGAGCACTCAGGGCTGATTTCCTTAAGAATGGATAGGTTTGATCTTCTTGCTGTCCATGGGACTCTCAAGAATCTCCTCCAGCATCATAATTCAGAACATGGAAGTTTACCACATGACAAAATGCAAACAAACCCAAATGACTTTCTAGCCTCCTCAAAGCCAAGACAGAATGTCAGGCTGGAAATTCTATTGCCTATTCAAGCTTGAATGAGGGCAGGAGGTGCCCTTGAGGTGCAAGCTTACGTTCACTATCTTAGGTAGCACAGACTGCAGCCAGACTGCTCAGGTTCCCAGGGACACAAGGTTGGCAGACAGTCCATGGCTGCAGGCAGGGATGGTGAAACTGGATGCAGACACCCGTCCCTCAAAGTCTACTTGTTTCAAAACTTACTGCATTAAGAGTCCTCAGCTTTTAAATAAAAATTGGTTTCTCTCTTCATGGAAAAATGAAACATCTCAATTATTTTATTAGGCTCCCTAGGTGTCTGCTATAATTAAACACAACACCCACGCTGTTACATGGCTGGTAATTGCACCCTGCAAGGAAGCGACAATCCTTCCAAATGTACAGAAGGAGTCGGCATTCTGTCTTGAAAATAAGGGCATGGGGGAGAGCAAACATTTTTGTTGTACTTATCTGATGGGTTATGTTTTCTGCTTCATGCTAAGCATGCTGTGCCATGCCACACATTCCCTGTGGTCTGCCATGGGGCTCAGTCTCCACTATACAGTGGTACCTCGGTTTAAGTACTTAATTCGTTCTGGAGGTCTGTTCTTAACCTGAAACTGTTCTTAACCTGAAGCACTACTTTAGTTAATGGGGCTTCCTGCTGCTGCCACGCCGCCGGAGCACGATTTCTGTTCTTATCCTGAAGCAAAGTTCTTAACCTGAGGCACTATTTCTGGATTAGCAGAGTCTGTAACCTGAAGCATATGTAACCTGAAGTGTATGTAACCCGAGGTATCACTCACCTTTCGAAGGATGTAAAAGGCATGCACTAGGGTGCATATAGCTTCCATGCATTTTGTGACATCTGCTTTAGTAACAGGAGACTTCTGCGGGAAATAAAATGGACATTGCTTGGGGGGGGCGCAATTTCCCCCCTCCCATGCCAAAGAGTTATAAATGAATTTAGAGTTCCCAGTCATAATTAGAGAGTCCCCACACTGTACATATACAGCTGTGGTTGGCAGAGAAGGGAAGGAGGCGTATCTCCCCCTTCTCCCCAGTACCTAGAACATTGTCAAATCATCATTCCAGGCCCCAGTAGCCTTGGAACAAGTAATTTTATCCAGAACACCCAGCATCAGGCACCATGGGAAAGTTTTGTATCCCGTGTTGGCTGGCATGTTCCTGTTGACAGTGTTTCAAGCACCAGAGAATAGCAGGAAAAATGGAGGAAGGAGGGAGGGAGCCAACTATCCCAACCACGGGGGAATGTATATGCTATCACAGCTTCTGCTTCACTAACTCCAGTGAAGGACAGTGCATGAAAGCAGCCTGTTCCACTGTTGAACAACCCTTACCAAATGGCTGCATAGCTGAAATCTGTTTTCCTGACAATTTTACCCATTGGTTCTAGTCCAGCTGCCCTCTGGATCAACAGAAAACAAGCCTGCTCCATATTCTCTAGAGATATTTCAAAAACCGCTGTCATATCCCCACCACCTTTGTCTTCTTTTCTGCTGGCTAAACATACCCAGCTTTTCCATTCCCCATACAACTCATCTCCCAGACCCCTCACCATCCTGGATACTCTCCTCTGGACACGTGCCAGTTGAACCAATCAGCGTCCTCCTAAAAATGTGGCATCCTAGAAAAAGGTCACAGCACTCCAGGTGCCGCCTGATAAACACAGAATTGAATGGACCTACAGTGGTACCTCGAGTTAAGTACTTAATTCGTTCCGGAGGTCTGTACTTAACCTGAAACTGTTCTTAACCTGAAGCACCACTTTAGCTAATGGGGCCTCCTCTGCCGCCGCACCGCCAGAGCACGATTTCTGTTCTTATTCTGAAGCAAAGTTCTTAACCTGAAGCACTATTTCTGGGTTAGCGGAGTCTGTAACCTGAAGCGTATGTAACCCAAGGTACCACTGTATTATTACTCCCTGTGATCTGGACACTGTACTTCAGTTTATGCATTAAGGCTGTATTAACTGTTTAAAGTGGCCACATTGCATTGCTGCCCTGTGTTCAGTTTATGAGTTTATCAGTTAAGACACTTCACATGCAAAGCTGCCAATCCATGTGTCCCTCCACTTTTCATACCTTTGATGCTCTGCTTTCTATGACAGTAAATCCATTTTAGGCACCTGAACAGGGCTTAATGAATGCAATGGGGGGTGGAGAGTCTGCTGCCGCTTCTCCCCAATGCAAGAGGGCAAAAGTAGATACAACACCATCCGCAACAATTAGAACCTGATCCCATTGAAATCTGGCAGGGAATGTTAAAATGCTTGTTCTCCTACTGCAATCCCAATCTGCATCCTATACCTGCTGCTTATTCTTATGCAACCACTCAATTGCTAACTGTTTGGATGGCATCACTTCAAGTTTGGCATTACAATGTCACAGGAGTTTCCTACTTGCAAAATAATAGATGTGGAAAGTGAGAAGGAGCCTGCCGTCACAATACTGCACTTACCCCTCATTGAGCCTGTTCAGACACCTGAGGCGCACTTGAAATGGCTAAAAATTACAGAAATAATTTAACAATTATCATTATTAAAATATATATACTTCCCTTCATTTGAAGATCTCAGGGCAGTTCACAAGATAAAAAATTACAAGCAAGGACCAGCCTACATTTAATATACGTATATACAGAAAACAGAATATCCGAGGCACTTTTTACAAAGTGTACATGTCAACGGATAGATGTTTTGAAAGATAAAGTAAATCAGGCAATAACTTGGGGAGGGCCCTCCACTCCTGAGGGGACCAGGTCCTCCTCAGTCATCAAGCAACCCTCAGATACCTGTGGCTAAATGACTCAGACTAAGGGCTAGAGGTGCCAATGACATTTTCCGCATGACATTTCAGGGGCTTGTCACATGGCATGACATCACATGTGCGACACACTGGGGGTGGGCTCAACTCATCCAGCATGGGGGGGGGGCCGCTGAGCTGTCCTCAGCCACATAGAGTTGGTGTCTGTGCTAAGGGCTTGCCCACACTTCTGGTTTTTTCCCAGATTGATGTTTGCTTTGATTTAGAGCTAAGAAGCAGGTTTCCCCTGGGAAAGGAGTGGAGCATGGGGGAAACTGCTTGGACTTGTGCCTAGAAAGCACAGGTCAAGCAGAAAACCACTCTGACTTGCGCCTTCTAGGCATGGGACAAGCGGAAGTGTGGACAAGCCCTAATCCACTTTATGATATTGCAATGATACACCTGTGTTTGCCTCACTGATTTTTCCTACAGTTCCACCAATACCTTTCTGTTACAGAACACATATCAAAAGGCACCAGGTGCAATTGGCTAGTTTGGCAGTTTCAGTCATAAAGTTCTATTTATTAAGTAAAATGCTCCCTTCCATTCTTCTCTGATAATGTGGCAGTTCTTAGCTTCAAGCGGACTGCCTCAATTTGTCATTGCAGCAACCATGACTCAGCCAACAACACTTTCCAGTCTCAAAGCTCCACTGCAATCCAGTGAATAATTGATTGGGCTGCTGAACATCTCATGGATACCTGCCTGCCTGTCTCGACCAAGCCGGGACCATCTCCCTTCATAGAGATGGATCCAAATCTCTGCAGCAATACTGCTATCACGGTTTCCTTTGATCAATCACAAATTGTAGACTGAATAAGAAAAATGTTATGAGAAAACTTTGGGCTTGCTTACAGCTCAGAGGCATCAGAGACAAATGTTACAAAAGAAAGCAGGATTGATAAATACCTTCCAAAAGCTCCGTTCCACTAAGATGTGACACCAAATATATACATTTTCCTGATAGATCTGTAGCTGTATAAATTAACATTTCAGCTCAAAGGAGAATTAGAGGAGAACAAAAAATAGCATGAGTGTTGTGAAATGTTTTTCCTGCTGAAAAATGGGAGGCTACACTGGACACGGGTGGTGCTGTGGTCTAAACCACAGAGCCTAGGGCTTGCCAATCAGAAGGTTGGCAGTTCGAATCCCTGCGACAGAGTGAGCTCCCATTTCTCAGTCCCTGCTCCTGCCAACCTAGCAGTTCGAAAGCACATCAAAGTGCAAGTAGATAAACTGATACCGCTCTGGCGGGAAGGTGAACGGCATTTCCGTGCACTGCTCTGGTTCACCAGAAGCAGTTAGTCATGCTGGCCACATGACCCAGAAGCTGTCTGCGGACAAACACTGGGTCCCTCAGCCAGTAAAGCGAGATGAGCGCTGCAACCCCAGAGTCGTCCGCAATTGGACTTAATGGCCCTTTACCTTACATTGGTACTGGCATTCTTGAAGACACTCCCATTTCAACAGGCGTTTCCCAGATTTCTTGACTTGAGTCTCCTGCTTTGATTGTTGTTTTCAACCATCACACTGTTTAAATGGGCTTGTTTATTATATAGTGTTTTGTGGGGACAGATTTCCCTAACTAAAAGTCCTGGGTACCATATTCATGCAAACAATGTAATTTCTAGAGTTAGTAAATGTAGGAGGTTCCTAAATGCATGAAGTTTTCACCCAGGTCCAAGACAGCTCAGCAGTGTAAAAATGCAGGCTGAATCCGTTTCCTTGCCAGGAATAGCCTGGGGAGAAGAACCATCATGTAGTACAAAGGAAGGTAATGGGTGACTGACAAAAACAGTTCTCTTGTGCTGGGCAACAGAGGAGTGTGAGCCCCTCCTTTCATGAGTGGCTGGTGAGCAGAGACAAAGGTCAGGTTTAGGATTTCATTGTTTGAATATGTAAACTGGGAGAGGGAGTTCCAGGTGGGCAGTGACATAGGTGGAAGGGGAAATTGTCTTGGTTTTCACCTATTAGACCCTATTGTGCCATTTTGATTTTGTATTAGAGACATTTCAGATTAGGGCTGTATTTGAACTTTCAGAACTTGGCACAAATTGCACCCATATTGTTTCAAAGTAGAAGAGTTTGGCAGCAAACAAAACTACAGTCACAGCAAGACATGCTTGCTATATAAATACCAAACTACATTTAGATTTCGCTCTCTGAGTCTCTCTTTCTCGCTCTCTGATCTCATCATAAGATTGAACTGCCTGGGTGCTTTAAATTCTGTGCCTCCTCCACTAATGCAGTGCCATCACTCTCTCCATCTCCCATCTGTAGAAACTACGCACACACGGCATGATGAAGCACTATGATCCACAAAAGCACAGCACATGGGGATAGCCTCATACAACAGCAGTGCTTTTTATTATTAAAAGGCTGCCCAAACTAAGCATTGTTGGTGGCAGCTGAACACTTAAAAAGCAAAAGCAAAAAATAAAAAATGCAGCTTTGACATCACATTCAGATGTGTGTGTATTTTGTACATGCTTTACCCAACAGATGTACTGGTACATGTTTCTTAATTTACCTATCCTGTTTCTCTCCAAGACTGCTCCTCCTCTGGTTCAGAAATTCACCTGCATTTTTTCTGCCTATCAGCAACACATTATATTCGGACCAGTAAAAGTGCTTTATAGACAAGATGTGCTTTAGATGAGATGGGTGCATGTTTAGAATTCTCATGCTACCTTCTTGAGTTTAAAAAAGGGGTGTGAGCTCTGTTTCAGTATCACAGAACTGTGAAGATCCAAAGGTCATCTAATCTGACCCTCTGCACTAAAGCAGAATTCTCCTTATCTGGAATTCTATCAAATTAAAATAGCCTGCTCGTAAATAGAACCACTAAATGTGGATAACAAATGAAGCTACTATACAGCACACATCAAGACATTACCTTCAACAGTATAAAGAGTGTGGCATCATATTTAGACTCACAAGGTGAATTGACCCATAAAGTAAATCAGATGAAAACTGTTAAGTTGTTACATTATCTTCATTATTAGGCTGTGTACTGACTGTGTACTTCCAAAAGTACAATTCAGATAAGGGCATTTCAGTCAAGGTTTTCACATGTCCATGTTGGATGGAGCAGTTAACAAGGTGTTTTGAGTCGAATTGGGGGCTTCCAAAATCCCCTCCCTGAGTACTATTGTGGGCTCAGGTGCCTCCAAAGCACTGCATTTTAAAAGTGGCCACTAAGGATGCTGGATTCAGTTCTCATTTAAAGCTGAATTCATCAGATTGTCACTTTCTGAAAATATGTAAGAACTGAAACATAGTGATACTAATCTGTTTTCCAACCATCTATGAGAATAACATACAAAAGTGAATTATATTAGGAGAAATTCCTTGCAAACATGTTTATATTAGCCAATCCATCCCAAAACAGTAAAATCTATCCTTGCAGAAGAATCAATGAAGGTATTCTTCTGACATTTGGCAGACTTTGTTACCTCCAAAGAGGCAATATTCAACTATGTCCTGCTCACAGTAGACCCACTGAAATTAATGAACCTAAATTAACCATGTACAGTAACTTCGATAGGTCTACTCAAAGTATGACTAGTGCTGAATACAATCCAAGGTTTCTTTGGGGGGAAGGAGGAGATGATGCATGTGTAGCAGTAGTCTTCTGGACACAAAAGAGATTTCTGAAGCCAGGGCAAATGGGGGGGGGGGCACAAGGAATGAAAGAGGGTCAGGACATAGCTAAGGGACCTGAACTCTGACAGGTCAAAGAAAAATGACCTTTGCACCTTATGCCCAGAGTTTGTGCATTTCCCAAAAGTCACATATATCACTTTTAAGAGCCAAATTATATAATCCAAACAAATATATAAAATAGAGAAATATGAGAAAAGTCGTGTCTGCATCTGCTAGACTGATACTGACCAAGTCTTGTCTGTGCATCCGCAGTTTGTGATGAGCCAACCCTATACTGAGAGTCAGGCAGTCTACGGCTATGACTCTGTGTCTAAAGCAAACAAACTTAATGAACTTATGCTGCAGAACTTTGTTTTTAACAAGACTGATCTTTCACTCTTAAGTATAATTCACTTGTACTTAATCTGTTTGTGCATGCAGAAGAAAAAGAAAAAATGTAAGGTTTTTTTGGGGGGTGTATATACCATATTTTTCGCTCTATAGGACACAAAGGACCATAAGACGCACCGGACCATAGGAGAACGGGGGGGGGGGGGATTCTCCCCCTCTCTGCTCAGCACCCCTTCAGCGAAGCGGCAGGAGAAATGGAGCCCCTTCCATTTCTCCTCCCGCTTCACTGAAGGGGCACTGCACAGAGAGGGAAAACTGTGCAGTGCCTCTCCAGCGAAGCGAAGCCTGGAGAGCAAGAGGGTTAGGTGTGCACTGACCCCTCTCGCTCTCCAGGCTTCAGAGCACAGCAGGAACTCTCCCTCTGCGCTTTGGAGGCTTCGCGTTGCTATCGCTGAAGCCAAGGAGCCTGCATTCGCTCCATAGGACGCACACACATTTCCCCTTCATTTTTAGAGGGAAAAAAGTGCGTACTATTAGAGCGAAAAATACGGTGTGGTGTGTGTGTGTGTGTGTGTGTGTGTGTGTGTGTATGCGCCTGTCAGTTGCTGAGCAAAAAACAAAGTTACTTGGATGGGGAGAAAAGGAGTCTACCAGGTGCAAACTCTGTAATTGACAGAGCAATCAGTTGTGTCAAACATGATCCTTTACTCTAGTTTACAACCTTATAGTGTTCCTGATGGCTGACTGCAAAATTCTGGCATGTTCTGAAGATTCTCAAAAAAGTGTTACACTTTCTGTACTGGCCAAGAATGATGAAAAAGTCTCTCTCACTCTCTTAATATAATAGCAGTTTATTACTTGTACCCCACCCATCTGACACACAGAGATCATCTTGAAATATGGAACTAGAGATGCTATTGAGCCTTCCCAGCTGATGAGCCCCTTGTCCCTAAAAGCTGTGCCATTGCCACTGTATCTTTATGACATCATGTTGGTTTCTATGGCAACAAGCTCATTCCAGACAGATTATTATTAGTTTTAGGTGTAGAATTCCCCTGCTTGCATAAGAAAGAACAAGAATACAATTAGAAGTAATGAAGATTTTCAGAAGAGCAAGAATGTACAGATTTATGTGAAAGATGAAATATGACAACAGTCAGAGGAAAGGAGGAGGACATGGAGGCAGATGAAGTAGTGTTTCATAATTCACGGTGATTAGGAAGGAGCGGGAAAGAAATGGAATTGCTTCAGAGGAACTACTAGGCACGTGTTTAATGGGGTCATATGTTGCAAGTGAACATTTCTACGCAAAACAGAAAAATTAGACCAGTATTCAAAAGATGAGGAAGAAACGGCATGCAACAATGCTCTTTTGATTTGACGACAGCATCACTTGGAAGGACTTCAAAACATTCAAAACATTGAGGCTGAAGTCTCTTGCTTTTTGCCATGCTGAGAACAACTCATTTAGCCCCCACACTACTTTCTTCAAAGACCACAGATACCCATCCCAGAGAGAGATCACCCCTTTGCACAGACATGTTTCCTATCCACTCATGAACACATGGTATGAAAGGCCAATGGGCATATTTCCAGTTCCCCATCAACCACACAGAAGATTTTTAGTTTTAGAATATCAGCAAAAGACTGTAGTTGCATACAATACAATGTATTAGGAGAACAATGTTTAAAATATTTATTGTATTATACAAAGCAAGTACAGTGGTACCTCGGGTTAAGTACTTAATTCGTTCCGGAGGTCCATACTTAACCTGAAACTGTTCTTAACCTGAAGCACCACTTTAGCTAATGGGGCCTCCTGCTGCTGCCGCGCCGCCAGAGCACGATTTCTGTTCTCATCCTGAAGCAAAGTTCTTAACCTGAAGCACTATTTCTGGGTTAGCAGAGGCTGTAACCTGAAGCGTATGTAACCTGAAGCGTATGTAACCCAAGGTACCACTGTAAATGAATTGTTCCTTGTGGGAGATAACCTTTGTGCCCCACGTAGAGAGATGAGGTTTAACAGGCATTGAACCAATTAGAGAAAGCCGTAACATCCACTCTCTAAATGCCTAGAGTGTGATGTGACAGAGAGAACCTCTTCTTGTCAGCATTTCATTTATGTGCTACAAAAAGAATAAGCTTTCCCACAGGTAAAACAGTGAGCAGGAACACCTAGAATATAGTCAGCATTGTGCTAGCAAGAACATGTTCGCTCTTAATTTACAGGTGAAATGTTCCTCCTCCACCCCGCTATTCAATTTGAAAGATCCCAAAGAGTCCACAATGCCACCCATCCAGCATCCCTTTCAAAAAAATGAACTTTAATTTTATTTGCTTTTATTTTGTGCACACCCCATTTACACAGTTGAGCACTTTAGGATTTCATTCTCACAAAGAGAGAGTTTCCTAGCTGCTGCATCATCAGGCAATTTTTGTCAGTCAAAGAAAGTAAACGGGAAGACATGTACGCATGCTGTTTATATACAAAGGGCATCTGCATGTCTTAAGTCCATTTAAAGAATACTAGGAAAAGGAAGACTTGGAAGTTGAGCATGATAGGGGAATAATCACTCAACTGGAGATGACAACTTAAAAAAGGAGCTAGAAATGACTATTTTAAGAAGTACCTTGGACCCTTTAATAAAAATAAAGTTTCAGAGAAGCCTAGAAAACTCTTCCCCCTCCCCCCCTCTTTACAAGCCTCCTTTCTTCCAAGCAACTCACAGAGGTGTAAAGGGTTCTTCCACCACCCATTTTAACTTGACAACCCTGTTGAGTTAGTAGGTTAGTTTGAGAGATTGTGATGGACCCATAGTCATTCATGGCTTGACAGAGATTTGGACCCGAGTCTTCTTAGTCTCTGTCTAACCCTAGGGTAGCCAACATAGTCCCTCCAGATGTTGCTGGACTACAAACACCATAATTCCTGACCATTGCTAGCAGGGGCACATGGGATTTTGTAGTCCAAAAGTATCTAGAGGGTACCATGTTAGCAACTGCCTGCTCTAACTACTACCTCACAACAAAACAACAAAATAAGAAACCCAGGAGAGATGTGTTTTGTTGCAGGTGAAGTCATGAAATAACCAAATGTTAAAAGCTAAAGGGGGAAATGCCAATTATGCTAGCATCAAGAATTTGACACAGTGCAGTTTGAAGGAAGCCAGAAAATTTTAAAACAGCTTTAAAAGTATTTTGAAGTGCTCTAGCGCTGGGATAGCGAACATAATGTCCCCCGCCTCCCCTGTTGCTGCACTGAAGCAATCATCCTTGACCACTGGCCATGCTGGCTGACTACTGCTCTGTCAGTTCTTTTTTTATATTTAAAATCCTGCCAACTTTAAACCTTTCATTTATTCATCTTGATGAAGTTGGAAATTTCCACCAGCAATATTTATTCACTTAACTCCAGGGGCAGATATGCAGGTCCCACAGAAAACTATACTTTTGACCCAATGTATGGCTTATGTCTTCTGCTGCCTATACACCCAGAAGGTCTTTTGAAATTGTAAGCCCCAAATTCCATTACTACCATCTGCCTTTGTCTGCACCTCAGTCTATACATTAGGAGCAAGGACTTAGGCTCAGGGACCAAATGGGGCTCTCCAAGTGAAACTGGCCCTTGAGACTCTTCCCAGGCTGTCTGACAGCCTCTTCAGATGCTTTTGCCTGGCTGGAATGTGTCTCTAAACTATGCCAATACATGTTGATTTCCTGTATAGGGATGTGCATGTAGGAACTATTACAATTTTTGTGTAGCTGGAATACAACTTACTGCACAAAAGGTAAGAGTCACACCTGTTGCTCCACTCGCTTTTACCTCTGACACTATTGGCATGTGGTCCTGAGAAGGTTGTCTGCAAGTAAATGTAGCACTTGAGCTGAAAAGGGTTTCCCATCTCTGCCACACACATAATTTTTTTTAAAAAAAAATCAGATAGAATTACTTTTTGGCAGACTATGGGCAGATACTTGGATTTTCATCAAATTCTTATTCCGTATATAGTGTAGCTCTTGAGAAACTGGGCAAAGATCTAAATCAGACCTCAAGGACAAAGTCTGGGTGCCCTTCAGTTGTTAAGTATCTCCCATAGCAACTTATGTTGCAAATATATATATACAGACTTCTTGGGAAACGGAAGCTGCAAACTTCTGGCTATCACTAACTAAACTGCTTGAGCTGTCATCAGCACTAGTTCTAGAATGATTTATTTGGAGTAGGGTTGCCAAATCCTATAGTAAGTTCATTTAAGGTAATGGACTTTAAGTTAGTCGTTGTCTTCAATTTCAATGAGTCTACTCTGTGTAGGATTGACACAGGATACAACCCTGAATCTTGACACATGGTCCTTCTTTCCAAAGAGTATAAACCCAAAGAACAAAGCCACAGCTACTTCCAAAACGTGATGAATGGCCAACACTATATTATTGCAATCAGTCACAGAAGTGTGTGGTGCCCATAACTGCATCGCTTATACTCTTAATCAACATGTGTTTATATTTGCTTGTTTTAACATGGCAGAGGGAAGGGACGGTTTGTTATCCCCAATATATCAAATGCAGCTTTAAACTGGGAACTTAATAAACAATTCCATTCACTCCTTTCTTTTCTTCTGCCCTTCTTCCTAGTCGACATTAATTCATCCGATTTTCTACTGGTCCCTCTTCAGGACAAACTTCTAAAGAAGTTCTATAGCTGATTAACTGACAGGATACAAGAGAAGGCCTCTATTGGTTAGTACCTGTGACATCATTACCTGGAAGGAGCAAAATTTTCTTCCACTTTGATGAAACTGTGTCACATTTTAGAGGCTGAACACTTGTCTTCTGTATTACTTTAAGTGTTCCAGAAATCTGCTAGTTTGCAAACATTTTTGCCATCATGCTACAAAAACCATGAAAATGTATACGTGTGCAAATGCACAAATCCAACTGCTGTTTTAATACAATAATAACAGGAAGGAACTATGTTGGCCATAATTTCTAAAGACTGACCAGCAGTGTTTTTTCAGGGGGTACTCAAGAGTACACAGTACTGGAACCTCTTTCGTGGTTGTTAAAAAGTGTGGCACTTACTGTAACTGTAACAACTTCATGGTGAGTACCGACACTATTTTTCTAGAAGAAGAAAAACACACACTGCTGACCAGCATTCCTTTTAAAAAGGGGGGGAGGGGGGTTAACCAAGAAGGCAACAAGACAGGCAATTCTTTAGTGCAGTATGCAAGTTATCACTTACATAGCAAGACGTCTTTCCTTTCCGTTTCCATCTACTTCTCAACCTCACATTTCCTGTAAATGTTCCAGAGCAACTTCCCAATCCCTGTCCAACTACCCCAGAAGGTCGTAAAGTAGCTACTGCATCCTTCTTGATTCTACCTATTCATGCAACACTTCGTTCAAATTGCCAGTGCAAGTTGTCCCAACCCAACTGGCTTTTTCACGAGGCTTGTTTCCTCCAGTTTTAATTATAAAATGTCCCCAAGCTTTCCTTATCTGACGGGCACAACTCTAGGGCCAAGGACATTCAGATTTTCAAATTCAGCTCTAGGTGAAAGTTATGATAAGGTAAACTTCCTTGTTTGTTTGTTTGTTTGTTTGTTTGTTTTTAGTTCTCTTAACCAACACATGCCTGGACACCACGGAGACTGATATACAGTCCTTTGGCCCTGACTACAGCTTTGGAAAACAAGCGCAATACAAAGCATGTTTACTGGAAAGTAACTTGCGGGTAGCACTGTGGGTTAAACCACAGAGCCTAGGACTTGCTGATCAGAAGGTCGGCAGTTCGAATCCCTACGACAGGGTGAGCTCCCGTTGCTTGGTCCCTGCTCCTGCCAACCTAGCAGTTTGAAAGCACGTCAAAATGCAAGTACAGTGGTGCCCCGCAAGACGAATGCCTCGCAAGATGAAAAACTCACTAGACAAAAGGGTTTTGCGTTTTTTGAGTCGTTCCACAAGACGAATTTCCCTATGGGCTTGCTTCGCAAGACGAAACGTCTTGCGAGTTCTTGCGAGTTTGTTTCCTTTTTCTTAAAGCCGCTAAGCCGTTAATAGCCGCTAAGCCGCTAAGCTGTTAATAGCCGCTAAGCCGCTAATAGCCGTGCTTCGCAAGACGAAAAAACCGCAAGACAAAGAGACTCATGGAACGGATTAATTTCGTCTTGCGAGGCACCACTGTAGATACGGTAAATAGGTACCGCTCCGGCGGGAAGGTAAACGGCGTTTCCGTGTGCTGCTCTGGTTTGCCAGAAGTGGCTTAGTCATGCTGGCCACATGACCCAGAAGCTGTACGCCGGCTCCCTCAGCCAATAAAGCGAGATGAGCGCCACAACCCCAGCGTCGGCCTAATGGTCAGGGGTCCCTTTACCTTTACCGGTAACTTGCATTGACTTCATTGGGGATTTATTCCAAACCTAAGGCTGCAATCCTATAACCACTTACTTAGGAGAAAGTCCACTGAACTCAATAAGGCTTGCTTTGAGTTGACATGCATAGGTTTGCACTATTGCCTTTTAGAACCCAATAAGCATAGCGACACAAATCATGTCTCTCTTTTTAAAGAAAAGTCTGGTTTTTATACTGATTTAGATTTTTAATTTCTTTAATATAAACCATTTTTTCTTTTTTATTGTATTACTGTGCATACAGATTTGCAACTTTCTATAAGTATTGTGGGTTTACAGCAGAAAGTGGCTAACCTGTGGCCCTCCAGATGTTGCTGGACTCCCAACTCTCATCATCCCTGACTGCTGACCATTCTGGCTGGGACTGATGGGAGTTGGAATCCAACATCTGGAGGGCCATGGATGCTCCAACCCTCCTCAATACCTACCAAGACTCCATGCACTCACACTAATGACAAGCTGATAACTTTGGATTTTTTAAATATGAGAACTTAAACACCTCCATATACCTGAATGGAAGTTATTGTGTTAACATTTAGCACCCACTTGGAGCCTTACTAATACTGGGGTGAGTATTCGTCACGGGGTAGGGAGATGAAATTCTGGCTGTGCACGAGGAATGAAAGTAGATCAACTGGGGTGAAGCAAGATGACTAAACACTGAAATGAACTGTGACAAGTGTGCTGATGTCAATTCAGCCACAGAACAGCAGCTCCAGCAACACAGCACACACCTCAGGGCTATGGTGGTTCATTGATTTAAGTTTCTGCTTGCAGGCGAAAGTTGCCAGAAGCAGACATGCCAATACAACTGCCTAGAGACCTGCAAATTTCCTTGGAGACCTCCTATGCTTCGGCTGCCCATGTGTCATTAGGCTCTGTTTGTACGACTTGACAGCTTTACAGTATGAAAAATTTGTGTGGCTTGTGAAAACTCCCTTGTTCCCTTGACAGTCATTGAAACACGGCTCAGTACCCACAGAGGTCCTCCACTCCACTGCTCTGGGTCACAGAGTTTAATGCACCTTTTTTATTTTTAATAGGATAAAAGACTTCACTGGGTTTAGCTACAGAACAGACAGCAGTGAGAGGAATTGCACTTGATTTCTGTCTCTTAATTTAGAGCACCTTAAGACAACTTTCTTCGGTGACCTGTTCACAATACTAAATTTAAAAATCGATAAACCACTACTGTGGACTGTTCTCTACTGGTACTTGTCCTATTTGTCAGCATATGAACTGAGAGCATGAGTATGAATAAGGCTGATTGGGTAGCACAGTACAGAACTATTTCAACCAGAGTGTTATTTTGACCACCACCACAGTGTGCAATAGTTAACCCTTCCATTCCAACATGTTAGGACAGAATGAAAATCACATCCTCCCTGCTCATCAGCCAGATCAGCACATATTAGCTGAAAGAAGTCCATCTTCTTCCCAATCATGTCTTGCAGGATGAGGTTTAACCCCCACTACCCACCCAGTGTGCCATCATTATTATTACCCATCTTTTTCCCTGACAGGAACTCAAGATGGCTTACAACTAAAACAGAAACAACTAAAAACATTGGGCGGGAGCAATAATTAGAAAACCATAAAACGTTTAAAAGAATAAGTATGCTCTATTAAAACATACAGATAATTACAACAGAAACATCACAGCACAAGCCCTTTCCTTAAAAGAAATTCCCATGAAAAATAGCCTGATTGGCTGAAGATCCGGAATGATGTGTTTTGTATCTCCGGCTTGTTTTGTGTCAGGTCAAGGGAGAGGTGCATTGTAGACTGGGGAAGAGTACTGGGAGCAGAATTAAAACTACAGTCCAGAGTTTCCCCCATCTGCAATACATAAACAATGAAAAATTCACAGGAAAGAAAAAATCATTCCTTTAAAGAAACACCCCCCCCCCCCCGATACATAAACTTCATTCAATGAAAAGAATGGGAGAACCTAAAGCAATATATGGTGAAGATCGAAGAAAAGTGGGTCATATAGTAAACATAATTTTTAAATAAAACAATACACTTTACCACTGGTGTTGTGCCATTTCATTCAAAGTTGAACTGCGAATCTATTTTAAAATCACTTCCTCCAATTTGCCTCTCAAAACCCAGAACACTAGAACTGACCCTGGTAAATAAGCACCACTGTAGGAAAATGGAATACATAATTCTGTTCCTGGTCAGAGACCATCCAGAGCTCATCTTTCCTAAGCATCCAACAATCTGTGGTGCAAAGTCTGTGGACTACAGGGAGTCCTGGGCCAATGAGCTTCTCCCAGTTCAATTAAAATGTGACATCTGCTGATGGGTGTTATGTTTAAACAGAAGAGCCATGTGCTGCTTCCTTAACCTCTTTATAAAAATTTTTTCCCAAGGAATGGTTGGGAAATCCAGTCTTGTATCTTCTGCTAACCTTTCAAACTGTTTTCAAGAGATACAGATTACAGGTCTGTATTTATAAATGTAAAAAAATAAAAAGGAGATTTATAAAAATAACTTTCCCATGGTTCAAGCGTCACTAGACATTTCCCATTTGCCTTTAAACCCCAAATAGAACACCAACACAGTTTTAGTGATTCCCCCCCCCCATCTGAAATTATATGCCATCTGACTCAAAATGCATCATGTCACGGGAGGCATCACAGAACACATTTCTCAGAAAGCATTCTTTGAATACCACAAGAAGAGCCATAAGGAGAACCAGAATGCCATAGTGCTTTTAAGCTAAGTGTTGAGTGTGGTATGGCAAATGAAGTGCCAGAGTTGGACCAGAGATATTTTAGGTCAGGGTCACCCAGTGTCCTTCATAGCTGACCAGTGTCATGCACTCACCACTTTCTCAGCCTTTTACAGAGACAATAGGGCTGCCCTTGCATATCATCCTGAGTTCCTTAAAGGAAATGCAAGACACTGGGGTGGGGGTGGGGGTGTAAATCAGTTAGGGGCTAAACAGAGATTTGGATCCAAGTATTCAAGCATCAGTTCATACATACATATTCAGAGCTGCTTGCATGTGGCTTTAGTAACTGTACAAACGGTTTCAAATTACTATCCTACACTGCTCTGAAAAAGGAAAGAGAAAGCAAGGAGAACTTTAACTGTGGACCTCCAGATGCTAGTGGACTGCAACTTCCATCATCCTTGACCATCAGCCATGCTGGCAGGAGTATCTGGAAGACCACAGCTTCTCCCCACCCCTGAAATAAATAAAAAACTAAACTAGTAAGCACGTTTTGAACTATAGTGGATTCAACATGTAGATCAAGCATAATGTTCTGGTGTATATTTAACCAAAAAGGAAAAAAGGTCTCTTGTTTTAAAATGGTGTAAGCAGAACATGCTGTGGGCTAAGTTTATTTTTCCTTGGCAGTCTCTTAAGCACAACATGCTTGTACAGCACTCCCCTCCCCACCCTCCCACACCTGTATATTCAGACTGTGCTCTGCTTACGAGCTGCGGATATGCTGTAAGTATAATAAGCTGCATTGCAATGCTAAACATTCTAAAGGTTTAAAGAAAAGGAAATGGCTCATTTATTAAACACAGCACACAGCAGCAGAGAATAACCATTAGAAACACATGGAGTGTTCTTCTTTGGCAAAAACTGGCACAATATAATGAAGTGCACTTGTGTAAAAATTGACTAATGAAATAAAACTGGCTCAAGGTCTGAAGCTGGACTGAAAAGAAATATTTTCTTCAGGCATGTCTGCAAGGATCATGGACAGAGCACTCCAACATGGTCTTTCAAGTCGCAGAGTATCCGCAGTCGTCTGCGCAGCTTGTCATTTTGGAGTTCAGCTGGGAAGTCACAAAGAGGACACTTCCATATCCAATTTTGCATTAGCACCTTGAAACAGATGTACAGAGTTGCCCTAGAAATCTCCTAATCTTCAGAGTCACCACCTGGCTTTATTGCAAGTGGGGTTGGTAAGAGACTACAGTACATCCTCCCTTTGTAACTCTGTGCAAGCAACTTTGTTACTCTGTATATATGTTAAATGGGGGGGAAATAAGTTCCTGAAGAAAGGCACTTTAACGTGTTGTTATAATGGAAGGATGAGCTTCCTTTTGAGACATGTACATCAGAGATGTGGAACCTGAGACCCTTCAGTCTTCCAGGACTCCCTATCACACCCCTGAGACTCTCCCAAGTCATGCCCATTCTGTAGTCCACATCTCAAAACGGCTCTGCTCTGCACCTTCCAGAGGCTGGAATGTGTCCTTGAATTGTGATAATGACTTGTTTCCCTAAATTGAAGAGAGAGGTGTGTGTATATATAGAAACCTCTCAGTTGTGCATGGCTAGCATGCAGTCTATTGTATAGAGACAAGAATGGCATTGTTTTCCCTGCCCACTTTTGATCTGACCCATGCCCACCATGTGGGCCCCAGAAGGTCCCCTATGAGGAAATGCTGAAAAGGGTCCCCTGCTTCTCATACAAGCAAATGCCATAATACTGTTTGTGGCGTGTCACACTCACCCTCACCAGCAGCCACGCTCTGTGTAGCAATTCAAAACATGATTGACATCATGGCACAAAATAAATGAACCTACATGTTATTATCATGTAGTCCACTTTAGTTTTGTGAGAGTATAATGTTGAGTTGGGGATGGACTGCAGGGAAATTATGGGATAAGTGAGAGAGAATGGATGGAATGGCACGTGCTCTGGTAGAAAAGGCAGGTGGGACTTTTGAAGACACAAAGAAAGTAGGAGACTGCAGCATCCTGGAAAAGGAAGACCACCACACACCAATGCCACAAAACAACAATATGACATGAGAACTATACACAGGGCTTTATCTCATAAAGTTTTCCCAAAACAAGGCTTTTCATATGCTGCGCCATCATTCAACTCACTCTGCTGGTTGTGCCAAAATTATCAGCCTTCTCTGTCCAGTTTATTTCTATCAGCTATCACTCATCTTCAGATCTATGTTCCCTCCCTCCTGTCAGGTCCATGACACTAGTTGAAAGCAATTTCTGAACCAATCCCTCAATCAAGATCTAGCAGGACCACACATGCTCTTGTGAAATAAAGCCATTTCTCTGTCTCTCATGTCCACTGCTTGATGCAATATTCCTCAATATACAGCACTTTTTAACAGGCTCTGTGTTAACTAGATTAAGGCACATTATCAAATTAAATTAAATACAAGTTAATAATCAAGACTGATCTTGCAACAATGCCAATTGAGGAAATAATCCAGCTTGTTTGGATAAACTGTGGCACCTCTCTTTGGTTTTAAAATGGCAGGTGTGCAAATGGAAAGATCCACAGATGGGACTCAGAAGAGTAGACTAAGATTTTCACCCAGTCATGATTCTTTCACATAAGATAGAAATCATAAGATAGATATGGATGCATAGATAGTTATCAATCTACCAGGAAATGGGAGTAGACCTGTGATTGATTAGGTTCTTATCTTTTATCTATTTGCTGCATGCAGTGCTGCCCATTCTTCAACAAGTAACTCTAGTGCAATGCTAATCAAATAATCTTCTAAGGCACTTTCTCATCGCCTTTTTAAAATGGAAAGCTATGAACTATGCCCCCAACAGGTTCACTGTTAGCTGTCTTACTTTTTCTTCTACGGAATAATAAAATAAGCATCTAACAAAGTGATATATAGTATAAAATGGGGGTGATTTTCCAAAAGTCATTAGACTGCAATTCCCATAATCTCTGACCACTGGCCATGTTGACTGGGGCTGATGGGAGTCCAACACCACCTGGATGGCCACAGGCTCCCCATCTCTTACATAAAACAGAATAAACAAGGAACAGGCTTACAGTCTTCAAGTTTGTACACATTATGGCTTACTCTGGTTCCAATGTGTTCCCACCATTGCAGCTTGAAGCTGAGCAGACATGTTAGCCACAATCCATGTGCATCCTGTAGTTTCTTGAGAAATACTCCTGTCTGATGTGTTTCCCCTCTAACCAGCTTTCATCCAACTTGAAGATGCAAACAACCATTAAGCTCAGGTGTGTACAGTTCAGACAGCTGTTGTACACGTGCAGATGACAGGGGTTGCCAGCATGGAGAAACGAATTAGGTAATGCATATCAGGTGCATATAGAAATTGCAAATGTGACTTGAGATGCGGGGAGGGAGAAACGGCCTTGCTGCGTTTTAAGCCACTAAAGTGCATATACTCTTCTATTGGATTAGATGACCCTCATGGTTCCTTCCAACTCTACAATTCTATGACTCTATGGCTATTCGGCAATATTAGAGGAGAAACTGACAAATTTCAGCCATCCAGTTCTGTGTTCACTGTTCAGCTGGAGTCTGTAATGAGCTTTCTACATCCCATTTCAGTCTCCAATATGTAAACATGAAATATGTGTGCATCCTCTTCATATACATTAAAAGCACCTTTAACACCTCTTCCTATTGTGTGCTCAACTGTGGGTCTTTTCTACTGTAGCACCCCAGCTTCTGGAAGTCCCTCCCAGGAGAAGTTTAGTTGGCCTTCTCATTAAAACTACATATGAGCAGCTAAGATCTTATTCTGCTACAGCTCCAGTATGGGGTTAAAATTCCATCTCTATACTAAATTGTTCTGTTCTGCTCTTGGTTTAAATGTATGAAATTGATTTTTCTTTCCAACTGTTCTACTGTGTTTTCTGTAACTTACTTATTCTGCTAGTTGCTCTGAGTTTATTTTAGGAAGAAGTGATTTTTTAAACAGAAGAAGAGCCTTTTAAGATAAAATATCCTTTGTTTGAAACACAAGTTTTTCATTTACAGTACAGAGGCAGAAATAGACTATGCTGTCATTCAGGACACTCTTGTGACAGTCTGATGAGAGTTGCAATTCAAATCCACTTCTGGAGAACACCAGGATGATGAAGGCTGGACGAAAGCTGGATTGTCCCACTGTTTAGGAACTACAACTGAACTGATGCAGGATAAGATGCTGCCTGCCTCATGATGGTCGTAGGTAAGTGATGCAGCTGATCTGAAACATCTGCAATGGTTCCTAGTTCATTTACAGACCAAATTCAAAGTGCTGGTTTTTATGGTCTGGGTCTCATGTGCCCAGGGAGTGCCTTTTACCAAAAGACTCTGCTCTAGATTCCATCTGTTGGGGTGGTAAGTGTGCTATGTACCCGAACAAAGAACAATACCTTTTTGTAGCTGTTTCAAAGTTACGGGATGTGCCCCCCCCCCCAATAATGTCAGGGGTAGAAGAAGACATTACTCCACCACGCTTCTGGGGATTCGTTGTTTTTATATGGTTTTCAAACTGGATCTCATACTTGTATCTTTTGGGGGGTAGGGCAAGCCACTTTCTGAAAATATTTGTTGAGAAGTGGTCATGAAACACTATAAACAAAGAGCACTTTTAGTGCTGCCTGGAAAGATTCCTTGTATTTTGCAATCATCTGTCCTATTTTTGCAGACTGTATAATAACAATATCAACAGGACTGCTAAGAATTTGAATACATCAAGTGCTTTTAGTGGCTGTGGTGAGAGCATTCTAAGAACCTCCCTATAAAGCAGAACAAACTTTTCACCATCATGTTTGTCACGAACAGTTAGAGAAAAAGGCAAAGATCATAGAAGTACATATTTGAACTACTTCTCAACTCATTCTCTTAATGGTACAGAAGGCTGTTTTCACATGACTACTGTAGCTTGGAGGATTCTAGATTCCTTCACATGTGCAGGGACTCCCATTGTACACAAACTGAACTTTAAAATTAAGTACATACATTGCCAGGCAAAGAGAGTGATAAGTTAGGGCTGCCATATTTCAAAAAGTGAAAATCCGGACACAAATCCTGGCTACGTTTGGGAAATTCTGGACATATGGCAGCCCTAGATAAGTAGCATTAGTGCAACCCCCACTTACAGTGGCTATAGCACAGCTGGGCAACCTGCAGTGCTCTAGCTCTCTTTGGCCTATTAAGTCTCACCGACTCTTCCCATTAGTCATTCTGGCTGCGGCTGATGGGAGTTCTGAGTCCAACAAAAGGAGGACCTCAGGTTCACTACCCTGCCTTAGATCCAGTAGCGAAGGGCACCAAGAGAAACTTTGCATTAGTAAAATCAAATGGATCTTGCAAAATGACAAAAGATAGCTGGCTGCATTCCTCAGGAAAGGGAGAGAACATTATTAGGAGAGCAGATGTGAATTCTCAAATACTCTGCTCTGAGGAACCCAACCAGCAGATATATTTTTTTAAAAAAAAACCAGCTGAAAGGAATGGGGTGGGTGTGTTCCCTTCAGTTTTAGAAAGCTGGATGACATGTTGAGAGGTCTGGCTGTGCAGCACTGCTGTTGCTCTTACAATTGCTTCAGGGGAAAAAGCACAGGGAGGAAACAGACAAAGGAATCCCCCCCTCCCTTCCCTCCTAGCTCTTTATACAGTTCCTTGCACAATGAAGATGCTCCTTAAGGTGCTGCATGAAGCACAAAGCCATACAGTATGCATGCATTCAGAGACATGTTGACACCCATGCAATGCTTAAATTGAAGGGGAAGGAAGGGGTGGGCGGGGCAACGCCCCTTGGGTATTGGTGGGTTTTGGTTTGCTTTTTGTTTTAAGAAGGGGGGTGGCGGCACAATGTGGGTAATATAAGGAGAAATCAGGGGTGTGGCTTGCAGATGTTCACACCCATACCAACCAATAATTCAGGGTACTATATGCCAGCGCCTTCATTTTCTTAATCCTTTTTTGTGGCAAATCCACCCACGTATATTTAAATACCTTGTCTGCCCCCCTCCCTCTCCCCGCACCACCACAAAAAATCAAATTCAGCATCATTGCTTGGGTTGAATGAGGTAAAAAGAAACAAATACCCACAAACTTGTGAGCAATTTCTGCAGCATTTCATAACGCAGCCCACAAGGCTCTTAAAACAAAGAGGTGTCAAGAAATGTTCACCGTTACAACTGGCTCCCCTCCCTCCTTTTTTTCAAGCCTTAAAAACAGGAAGTGGCTTTCTCTGCCAAACTATACGCTGATTTTTATTTTTAATTTTTTTGACTCTTCGCCAAACTCCAGAAAGGCAACACCAACGCTGGGGGAAGGAGCGAGGGCGTGTGAGGAGCAATTAGTAGTAGTAGTAGTAATGGGCTGGGCTGCCTCATCCACTCTCCCCACATAGAAGGGAGCCAAAAAAGTCGTGGGACAGTCCTGAGGGGCTGCTATTTCTTCACCCGCCGGTGCCACTGAATGCAAGCGGGCTTACTTTCTTCGCAAGTTTGTTTCGCCTCGGGATACACCAGCTGCTCCCGGACTCCGTCTACGACCCCCGACGACCCCCGGGGCAGTTTCGGCCAGCAGCTATTCTTAGCTAGCGAGGCCAACCGAGGGCTTTTCTGAGGGGAGAAAGCCCAGGCGGGGAAGCTGGCAGCCTGCCTCGCGAAAAGTCAACGCGCCGAAAACAACTCACAGTTTTAAAGCATGTTCCGCCCACAGAAAAGGTCGCTGGCTCCAGAGAGAAGCAGCAGCTACTGCTGCTGCTGCCGCTGCCGCAGAAGAAGAAAAAGAAGAGTAACAATCCGCACAGCCGGCCTACGGGAGGCGGTCACATCTCCGAGGGTCCCTCGCAGAGCCGCCGCCAGAGACAGGCGAGCCGGCACAATCAGCCACTTTTGCACAACCTGCGCGTTTTTCCCCGCAAGCCGCGGAGGGCGCCTTAGCCCCGCCTCCGTATTACCATATTCAATCAATCACACGTCGCGCGGCGAGGCAAAGGACGGCCCCGCCCCCGCGCACACGCCCCGCTCGCCCCGCCGCTTTGTTGCCGCTCGCCCACACGCCGCGCCGCTTAGCTGGAGAGCGACACCTGCAGGGAGCGAGAGGCGGCGCAGGGCGCAGACTTAAGCGCCTCCCGGAGAGGATCTATTGTTTTTACAGGGAATTAAAGGTTGCACGACGCGAGCATCCCGCCCCCACACCCTCGGAGTCCCCTGGCAGCACGAGCGCGCGTATCCTCGGCGGCGGGTTTGACGGGTTGGTTTATGAATCCGGGTTAACATGCCCCAAGGAGAGGAGAAACTTCGGGTGTTTAAGTTTAGAGCTGAGTTATTAGGTCCCTTTTGTGCATAGCTGTCAACTTTTCCCTTTTCTTGCGAGGAATCCTATTCGGAATAAGGAAATTTCCCTTTAAAAAAGGGGAAAGTTGACAGCTATGCTTTTGTGGTCGGACAGCATTTCATTTTGCGGTGTCAAATCTGTGGAAGAAACCCCAGATGGATTTTTTCACCTGTGTATGTGCAATGGGTGGGCACTTGTACCCTTAAATGCCTGGCTGATGTGCATTTGCCATCGAGTCAGGTGTTTTTTCAGGTGTGCCACCAAATAACAACAACCAACCATCCCGACCCTCAAAAGGGGAAATCCGCATCCGCGGGATTCGCAGGACTGAGAAATTCAGTTCCCCCAGTAGAATACAAAAAGGTCGCCAAACCACAACAAACATGAATGAAATGCATTATACTAGCAACACAGTCACTCAAAAACACTTTAAAGCATAAATACAGAGGCAGATTTAAGGGAACGCAACTCGTTCGTCCACACTGGGTGCTGCAGGGGCACCACAACAATGATGAACAATGGAAGGGGAGAGGCAGGGGGTTGCCGATTCTGGCATCACACAGGGTGCCACTGAGATTTTAAAGCCCAAAGTCTGCCACTGATTATAAAATCATAATATTCACACACACCAAAAAAGCCCCACCAGCCCAGAAGAGCCAAAGTAACCTTTGGGAAGGAAAAATAAATAATGTTGGAGGTCATCAACTTTTAAAAATACATTAAAGGCATGGTGTCTTTGTCAGGGATGGGTCTGGGGCATGTGGCAACAATATATTGTAATTTTTAATATCCTCATCTACAGTTGCCATGTCCCCATCCTAGTCCTGCAAGTCACGAAGGACAATGCTATTGTTCCTTCCAGAATCAATGCCCTTTCGCCGCCAAAGGAGTAGGGTGGAAAAGGGGACAAATTTGGAAGCACAGCAGCTGCTGCTTTTCTTAGAGCAGGTGTGGGGATGCTTTGGCCTCCTTGTGTTGCTGAACTACAAGTCCCGTCATGCTTGCTAGGGCTGATGGAAGTTGCAGTTTAGCAACAGCTGGAGGGCCAAAGATTCTCAACACCTGCCTTAGAGCATTTCAAAAAATGAGTGGAGAGCGTTTGGTCCTCCAGATTTTGGACTCCCACCTAACTTCTTAGAATTTATATATCACTTTGAGTGTTCAAGGCACTGTGTATGCGGTGATGATTAAATCCGCACTGTAAGGTTGCATTAATTTTTTTGTATGCTTCTAAACTTGTTGAAAGCCACCTAGACATTGACTGCTATTAGGCAATGAACCAATTAAATAAATAATAACTATTACCCCCATATTTCAGAGTGGGGACTGTACCTGGTGGTTTAATTAAGACCACTTGTTTGTTCAAAGCTTGGGTTTTGGCTCACCACTGACACTTAGGTTGTGGACACATAACGGAAGACACAGGGATCAAAGCTGCTTTGGTTTGGGCTGGTGGGGAATATCAAAACACAGCCTTTCCTAAGAAATGACAGGATACATACAGAAAGGAGATGGGTTATATATAGCTAACATTGTGTGTACACTGCTTCCCAAACCAATGGTGGGATGGATGCAGTGCTGGATGCAGACTGAATTGAAGTGTGTATGCATCTTACTATGCAATCCTGTGTGTGTACTTTGAAGCAAGCAGCTTTGGGTTCAGTGGGACTGGCTCCCATAGGATTGTAGGTTGCACTTGCCTGGGGTAAAGTGTCATTTAACTTAATAGGGCTTACTTCTGAGTAGACATGCATTAGAATGCTGCTGTTAGCCAATATGTCAGCACATTGAGTTCACGGTAAAGGAGATTTTCAAACTGGGAAGTTCTAGCTTACAGCACCCATACTATGTAACACTAGATTTCAGAGAATTCAATTTCACTGTTCCTATGAAAGTCATGAAAATGTTATTTCTTGATAGTCCTTACTTTGGAAATATTTTCTTTCCTTCCTTCTTTCTTTCTTTCTTTCTTGGTCAATCTCTCTAAATTCTTAAACGTGAAGGGACTGATGGGTGTCAGTTAGTATGAAAAGAGGTGAATTTAGATGAGCACATTGCATCTGAAATCCCAGCAGAATTCAGGCAACCTCCAGAGAAACATACAACCCCATTGTTCCTTTCCCAGCCTTTAATTAACATGGAAATTGGTTTGGGTTTTTTGTTGTTTTTTACTTCTCTGATCATGGATTATGTATGATTCCAGATAAGCCAGCCATGAACAAAGAAATGTATCTAAAGCACTAACAACATAAAGGGGGGGGGGGGATAAAGGAACGTAAAGAACATATGCTTTCTTTGTTTCATTTTTTTTTTAGTGTTAAAAATAAAACAAGGCAAACTCGTGAGCATAATCAGAATCTTTTCCCAGAGGAATTGATTAAAGGTCAACTGACTGAAGGTTTTTCTTTGTCAAACAAACCTAATGTGCTATGGGCAGATGAACCACATAGTGCAGAATCTATGAGTCTCCTGATGCTGTTGGACTAGATCTACCACTGCCCCTCACCATTGGTCATGCTGGCTGGAGGTGGGGCGAGCTAGGGTCTGGCATCCCCCAAATTCCCCACCACTGGCATAGGTCAAACAGTATCAGGGACATCACCATATAGTGTATAACAGTTCAGAATAGGGAGAATTGCTGCCATTTGACATAAGTGGGAATGTAGTGAGGGTACCCTTTATTAGTCACATTCATGTGTTGTGCCACTTCAGAACACATGCTTGTTGTTGTTTTTGTTCCTGTGCATGCTTTTGGACGTCTTCCTCCACTCAGTGAAGAATTACATCAACCTCACTTGAGGGATCGTAGCTACAAAACCCTCTACTTATATTAACATGGACTGCAGCTTTTCAGGCCTCTGAGCATATGCAGAATACATTTGTCTCACTTTTCAATAACCAAGTCAGGTGCCCCTCCAACAAATCACTAGTTGAATGTATCACTTGGGCCTTTATTTTTGGTAAATTGTATCCAGCAACATTGATTTCTTTCTGAAAGGCGAACTTCTCTATTGTCATTTTACTGAAGTCTCCCGTTTTATGCATCACTTATATTTCTATCAGACAACGCAGCCAGCAGTACTGCTGTAGTAGCAATTGCACTTCATGAAGCCCCAAGCAAAACAAAATAAATAACCCAGCTTCCTTCTATTCTGCAGGCATAGAATCATCCCTTCTTTTGCTACTCTTTAGCTGCCCAGCTATGTTCAGAAGGGTGGTTAAGCTGCAAATACCTACCGCTAGTAAAAAAAGAGAAGAAAGCAAAGAGAAAAGGTAAAATTACATGTTTGACCATCAACAAGAAAAGGGCAGAACTCATTAAAAAGCAGGTGGGACTGGCAACAGAATATTGTTGTACAGTCAAACCTCTGTTGTTGAATGTAATCATTCCGGAAGACCGTTCAACTTCCAAAACGTTCAACAACCGAAAACTGAAAGCGGAAGCCTCAATGTAATAGGGAAACTCAAAACGGAAGCCGCATAGCACATTCAGCGTCTGAAAATCGTTCGAAAACTGGAGCAGTTACTTCCTGGTTTTCAGCGTTCGGGAGCCGAAACATTCCAAAATGGAGGCATTGGGAACTGATATTTGACTGTACTTTGGCTGATGATACTCCATTTCATTACTCCTCTCCCTCCTAATGTTCCACGAGGAGGGCGCAAACTTGGCTCCCCCCAAACCTACTGATTTGAGGAGCAGCACTCACTTCTGAACATCAGAAATAGAAACAGTTATTTCTTTATCAGGATGGAAGTTTACCAGTCTTGGCAGGTGAGTCTTTTTACTTGAGTTGTACAGAACTTTTTCTTCAGGCAGCATGTATTTTAAAAAATGTTTCTGGAAGATGTCACAGCACTTAACCAAGTCTGCAGTCTGTCTCAGTCTGAAAATGACAGAAGAAAAACTTCTTGCAGCAGATTAATTCTGAACTGTGCTTTTTAAATGCATTCTAGGCCTTCTTGAACAGATTTTTGTCTGGGCAGCTCTCCAAAACTATTTACATAAAATACCAGTAAATAACATAATAATAAATCGACCCTTGGCAACAACAAGAAAGAGGGGAGGGGAAATGTAATAGTTTCTTTTTAAAAATGAAAGATCAGTACAATATTCACTTGTACCAAAGGACTCCAATTATTTTTGAAGCAATCTTTCATCAGAGAAGCATCACGCCCATGCCAAAGCAAGTGCATTAATTTTAACCAGGCTTATTATCAGGTTAAGCATGGCCTCAGAATCCCAGTTTGGAAATAAAAAACCTTGCAGTTATTCAAATCCGGGTGCTTCCAGGCACGTGTTTATTGTGGGATTGGTACTCATCCTACATACAAACGTTTTGCAGCATCCGCATGAATCTTCAGAAAGGAGCAGAAGGCTACTAACTAGAACATTCTTTTAAAAAAGGTTTTGTTTCTCTTCCAAAGTAGGAGTTTAGTTGAAATATAGGAAAATCAACTTTACATAACTTGTTAAAAACTAATGGACGACATATTTTCCTTTTTAACTATTGTGAAGTATTATATCTACATTTAAAATAGTATTCCCCCCTGCAAGCTATGCCCCACATTTCTACCCCAAAGTAGCACTCACCAAGTGAGAACATTAACAACTTTGAACTGACATAGCATTATGGGCATGAGAATGGAAGGGAGTGTAACACAAAGCATCATCAGCAGGTGATCTGCCTTTGAATGTGATCTGATTCACCCTCTCATTTTTGTTTAAAAGTCATAAAAAGGTAAAGGACCCCTGACAGTTAAGTCCAGTCACGAACGACTCTGGGGTTGTGGCACTCATCTCACTTTACTGGCCTTGGGAGCCAGCATTTGTCCGCAAACAGTTTTTCCAGGTCACGTGTCCAGCATGACTAAGACGCTTCTGGTGAAACCAGAGCAGTGCACGGAAATGCCATTTATCTTCCCGCCAGAGCGGTACCTATTTATCTACTTGCACTTTAATGTGCTTTCAAACTGCTAGGTTGGCAGGAGCAGGGACCGAACAACGGGAGCTCACCCCGTTGCCGGGACTCGAACCACTGACCTTCCGATCGGCAAGCCCTAAGCTCAGTGGTTTAGACCACAGTGCCACTGCATAATCCCATTTGGGGGAGAGAGCATAATACCTTCTTCTCATGCACTTGTTGAAACTTCTATCAAACATATGGTGTATATATATATATTATTTATACACTTCTCCTTGCATTTGAAACCTTGGCCTTATTTGAAAATCTCCAGACAATATAGACTTGTTAAATGGGATGGATCTAAAATGTTTCCAGCTCACAGAAATTAACAGGTTGTCCCCCCGCCACCCTACCGTCAAGTGTCATTATTATAAATGTCTTCAAAAAATATGCGTGCATGTCTGAAAATAATTTACATGCCAAAGCATTTGGTATGAAAAATGTCCAGGCTCCAAATGAACTCAGGTTCCTAGAGATTAATCACATAGCAAATAGGAAAACCGTCAAGAAGGAGCAGCCATGTCAGGCTGATGGAGCAAAAACATGAAAGAGCCTTGCAGCATCACCACGACTAAAAAAATTATTGTGGCCTCAGCTTTGGTGAGCCAGCATCCATATCATCAGATGCATGAAGTGGTCATCTAAGTGGGAAAAGATATGTTTCCTGAATACAGAGATAAGATGTTTTCAATTTATTTATTTATTTGTTTATTTATTTCAAAATAAGGCTGAAAACTCAAACATCATAAAAACCCAGGTATGTTTGTGTCATAAATGAATATATTTTTAAATTACTACAATTGTTATCATTATCATTTTTACAGCAGATCTCCAAGGCTGTCAGAGCAACACAACAAAAACATCCAAGCATATCTAGAAGTCTCCGTTGCTCTCGAGAAGGCAAGGAACTTAAGGATGAGACCTCTGCCACTGTCTCTCTTGCTGCTGTTTTCTCTACGTCAGGGTTAGCCAGTGTAGTGCCCTTTAGATGTTTTGGACTCCAATTCCCATCATCCTTGGCTCAGCTGAGGCTGATGGGAATTGGAGTCAAATATATCTGTAGGGTACCACTTTGGCTATCCTTGCTGTACTTCCTCCAAATGTAAGTTTCTGGCATGGATGTGGTGGGGGAGGGGTAGAAGAAGAGAACTATGGGGGAATCTCCAAGTTTTACCTGAGACACCAAGCCAATTATGACCAAGCAAATTGGTCGTAACTCTTCTGTCGGTGGCCAAAATGGATAGTGGACAAAAAAGACAAATAGCTAAGGTGCTGGTATAGAAATAATTGGAAACACTTGACTCTGCACTGGGGGGATTCCCAGTAATATAGGGGAACGGTCAGTTGGAAAGAGAGAATTGCAGTAAATGGAAGATACTAAATATTGTGTCTCAAATGAAAGATCATATTAAGATACTATTTTCTATATTAGTCTAAGGGAGAAGAGAAGTTTTGTGAAAAATTTACGTACTGTACTTTGTGTTTTAAGAGAAAATAGACAACCTGTGTACAAATACCTGTGATAGATAGATGAGAGAAAGATATATAGATAGATAGAGAAATAGGAAGCTAATAGTTTGCAAGAAAACATCCTTTGCTAACATTCTTCAGATGCTGGGTGGTGGGACCAGGGCCAGCTCATCCATGAGGCAAGGTGAAGTGACTGCCTCAGGCAGCAGGATCCTGTGGGACAGCAGATCCTGTTGTTGATCTTTGTTCCCCGCCCCCTGTTCTTCATACTGTACTGTATAGATCTTCCTTCACCTCTCCTTCCTTGGCAAGGAGGGGGGGTGCCATTTTGGGGTCCGCCTCATGCAGTGGTGGAGCTTGATGCTCTGGCACCGGGGGGTGGAGAGCAGGTGGGGGCGGGGCTGGCATGCATTCCGGAAGTGTGGCGCGCTGCCTGCGGGGGCATGGCTCCCAGCACAGGCGGGGGGCAGCCTCGATGGCACCCCACCGGGATCGCGCTGCCAGGGGTGGTACTCTCCCCCCGCACTCCTCTTCCTCCGCCAGTGACCTCATGTGCCAAAATGTATTGGTTGGGACTTTATTTTCATATGGAATGAAAAGGGAATAAAAAGTGAAAGAACGGACAGCTTACGTATGCCAAAAGGTTCATCCACAAAACAAGTTGGGTAGACCTAAACAAAAAGCCCTTTGTGTATCAGTTCTTGACAATAGTCGTGTTGAATGAATGCTGTAATGGCTGCTCCTACTGACTGCTCAGTACAATTGGAAATGTAATGGTAACAACAATAATGGGGTAATTTAGAAGCACACAGTTCAACACAGGCATGGTATCTTAATTTCTTGCGTATAACAAAACAACACAAACAATGCTTCCCTCAAGAACTGTTTTGCAACTCAATTCCACAGGGCAGATGATCGACTTCTTATCTTGTATTTACAGGAGCAAAAATGCTCGTGGTTTGGATTCTCTTAAAAAAAACAGAGGGCACATCCCAGGGAGTTTCCATCTGTGGTGCAGTCTTTCCAAAGGAATTGGTTCCCTTCCATGCAAAACATAAAGAGGCATGTGGGCAATTCTTAAATTATAAGTAATAAGGTAGGATCCCCCAATGAAACCTGTAAGCCTTTCCCAACCCCAATTTCAGCCAGATCTTCAGCCGCTTCTCTCAGTTGCCTTCTTAACACAGTAGAGTTCCAACCAAATGTATGCCCTGGGAGTTGTGACATCAGGCCATTGGGATACTTATAAAATGGTGGGCAGCTTACAAAGGGTAACACTGCAAGCTGCCGGCCAGTTTAACTTTCAGTATAACCTGAAACCAGGTGAAAATCCTCATCGACCAGGATAGCGAAGCTGATGCAGAATATAAACAAGGCATGGACCAGAGAGATCTGAGGTTTTGGAAATCAGGAGTGTGAATTGGATATAAGTTTAAACAAGGAGTTACTACTGAAAGCAACAAGGGATATTTGAGTTTCAGCATCCCACCTTGTAACTGGAGCTGTCATCTTTTGTATAGGCTAACATTTGTATGAAGTGCAGTCTTCAGGGAACTTCTGACGTTCTTTGTTCACAGAACTTAGGAGGAATTCATACCTGACAGAATCAAAAAGAGAATTTCTGAATGGCATATTTTTCTAGACTTTGCCCTCAATAGGTGCATCATCAATGCATCAGGTCTTTTAGGTTTTCCCAGCATGGGATATATTCAGTGTGTTATGAACTCTTTCCCAATAGGTATTCATCTTCACACACAACCACTGTAGGTGAGGATAATGCCTTTTTAGTGAGCACCCACAGTCCCAAACATGCTTTCTGTTTGTGTTTAATCCTCATCTAATCCCTTTAAAAAAAAACCTGTGCAAAAGATGATGAAGACATCATGCAGTCTCTCTGTGATTCCTGCAGAGGCTAGCAAGAGAGCAACACAGAATTTTTTATAACACTTCACTCATTTGACTGATTCCACCTTGGAATTCTTTGTTCCAACTCTGCCAGAGCTGGATTTTCTATCATCCACCCCCAATAGTAGCATTTTTCACCCCTTTCCAGTGATAAAATGGGAGAGGCATTGGCTTGAAGGAATTATTAATGTGGCACCATTTGCTTTCTTATTCTCGAGCCCCTGAGAAGCCCAGATGAAGATGGATGCTTTTTGTTTGTTCGCCATACAAATGCCTCTTGATTGCCTTGGGTTTCAGAGTGACTTTTGATTAGGGCATTCAATTGATTAAAGATTTTTAGCTGGCTAATTACCCGGCAATGGCATTTAACTGATAGATTAATTTATTGATGACGTTTAAAAAACTGGACATACTGCAAAGCTTCCGTCAGTGTGCCTTGGAGGAAAAGGAGGCGTTGTCTTAGTGAAAGATGAACAAAATGTGATAAGCAAAAGCTAGTGTTCCTTGCTAGAAGGAAAAGGCATTGGAAACATTTCCTCTCTTTTTCATCATGAATACTTTATCAAGCTTTGACAATAGTATATCCCAGCTCTGTCAGTGAGATCATATGAAGAAGAACTGCTAGTTGTCCCCTGTGCTGCAGAGGCCTTTCTGGCCTCCACTAGAAGTTGGGCATTCGCTGTCACCAGCCCCATGCTGTGGAATATTCATCACATTTGAGCTTCAGGAATCTCTTGGAAACCTAAGTATGTTGACAGGCCTATACAGATGTCCAAAAATTTCCCCAGTCATTTTAATAACTGCCTCACCTTGCCTCATATGTGGGCTTGCCCTGATCACAAGTTCTCTAGTGTAACTTACTAAAATGCCATTAACAAACAAATAAATCCCAAGATCTATCAGTATTGTTGGAGATGCAAGTGTATTGGACCACTTCAGTTGCCTATGATTCTGACTCTTAGATCTTGCCTTTCAGAATGGCTTTTGTTCTGTGTCAGCTCTGGATACAAACAGGAAGGAAAAGCCATTGTCAGTTTTCTTTTGCATCAAGAAAGAGAGAAAGGAGCTGATGCATGCACACCGCCGACATGGTGGCAGACCTTGAACAACCCTACATCCCTAAAGTTACCGCCTGTTGTGCCCTTAACTAATTAATCTGGGGGTGGGTTTTAATTTGTGGCCACAACAATGTGTAATTAAAAAAAGCTTTCGGCAATCCTCTTAACACCGCTCAGTAGACCCTGGGTGAACAGCTGAATCTTACAACTCAGTAGCTTTCCAACGTGTCCGTTTTCCAATTAAACAGATTGAAGGAATCCCTGGCTGCATTCAGATACATCAACTGCATGCAGTGCTGCAGCTACTGGTGTTTCTGCTGCACTCTCTCATTTATATGTCTCACCCTATAATTTCTCCCATATTAGTAGATTTTACTGCAGTATCTCAGCCGCCTAATGTTCAGATCTACCACTCAAATGAGATTGTGCAATTTGAAGCAGTGTCAGTCACAGGTACATGGTGCTCTCTGAGGTGTAGGCCAGTGGGCACCTCTCCTTCCCTGCTAGGGCCAACACTTAAAAGAAAAAGAAAAAAGGGCTTCCTGCAGTACTCAGACATTTCCAGACATCCAGCCCCGCTTGATGCTTCCACAAGATGGCTTGCCCTGTTGCGCGGCACAGCCCTGATTTTAAGGGAAGAGAGGAAAGGCAGGGCAGTCTTGTGCTTGCCAGTGCCAAACCCAGACACCTCGCCACCTAAGGCAAAGTGCAAGATGCAGCAGTCTGAATTAGGGAACACAGGTCTGGGACTTCAGCTGCAGCAGCATCTGCCTAGGAAGCCATTTCACTCTGTCTAATGATAGGGTCAGCCCTGGTGTACAGTATATCTTCCAAGTCTCCCTCCACAAAGAATGGGCTCATTTACATTTTGTGATTCCACGGATACAGACAGTTTTGCTAAACTGAAAGATGAAGGGACCCAAAGCTGTGTAAGAAATGACACCTGTGCTAGTGGTTTCTTCCAGCAATTCTATCCACCCAGCCCTAGTAGATAGGATTCCTGACCTTTTAATTTAAAATAATACAGATAACCTAGGTGCCATAGCCAAGGCTAGACAAAGATGGTAAGGCCGGACCTTGAGTGTTCTTATTCAGTTCAGGCATACCTCCCAATGAATCTGCGATTATGAAAACACACGTCTGCTTTGTGTGGTCTAGCTTGTGACCGAAGCCCTGAAAACGATGCCACTCACTCATATGTTGACTTGCTGGCAATGCTGCTAGGCCCTGCCCCAGCTTGTGAATCAAAACGTGTAGCTCAATATCAGCAATTTCAAGCAGAAATCATACAGATAAGTGTTGCTCTAGCAGTAAAAACAAGCTTGGCTGTATGATCCCAGCTGAAATCGATAGTAAGCTTTTCCAGTGAGAAGGAAGCAATAGAGAATGTTCTATGTTTTGAATATAACTTTAGAACAGGAGTAGGGCAGAGGTGCAAGTGGAAGGTTTGCAGAAAATATTAACACACACCCAT